CCAGGAATCGAACCCGCTACCATTTGAAGTAAGGCAGTATCTAAACCGCTACACCGCCGAGGCCGTCAAAGTTTAATAATATTGCGGGTTATAATTCAAGTATAGTAATAACTGAAAGTGTAGATTTTAATCTCTATTTAACAAAAACGGATAGCAACTGCGTTACGTAATCAAACCCTATAGTCTGTTTTTTTTTATCACAGAGTCAAGTTTGTCAAAATTTTGTAATTTTTAAATAGGGTTGTGCCATCGGAAATTAATATTAATTACCCATTTTTATAGGTTACTAAAAAAGAATATATGGGTGTTTGGGTGTCAATTTAAAACACATCAACATAAAATGAATAACGTAAATATTAATAAAGATAGAATTGTTGTACTGATATTGATTTTTTCTCATTAACATATCGCTGATTATATGCCAAAGGGCCGCAACGCAAAAAAAAACTGTCTTTATTATTTTTTCCACTAATGGTATCTAAATCGTTATAATTTTTATATTAAAAAAAGACACTCATGGTTCTAGAGCTAACACAGATATACCACTATAGTGAATATTTTGATGAGCTCTCTTGTAATATTTACCGTTTGCGTCATGTGGCCTTTTGGCATTTACTCGGCGATATATTTCACAAAAACAAAGGACTAACTGCCTTTTTTATAAAACAAATGTTCTTCATATGGTATCATTATTCATAAAACCTACACCGTTTGAAAGAAAAAAATGATGGTTTGTAGCTTAATACTATAAAATATATGTGCATTTTTGTGTTATTTAATTTAGACAGTAAAAACACTAGTGTAGGTACGTAAATTATGAAAACATGTTGTAGAAATTTAATAGAAAACTTTTAAAGTAATCGTCTGAAATAAAAAAATACAATTCAACAAATCGGTATCGCAGGTACATCACTACCACAGCTAGTGAAATTATTTGACAATTTTACATTTAAACCTGTCAATTTAGTCTCTGCGATTAAAAACAGACTCTAGTTTAATTTTTCACTGTTTTACGTATACATTAAAAACTCTTGAAACGTATTAAATGCAGTTATTTGTAATGGGGTAATAGTGAATTGCGATTTAAATGCGTAATGATCGTTATAACACACGAGACATAATTTCAACCCGAGCGAGAGCGTAATAGAGCTGAGTGTGTTAAATACGCACGTATATCGTATAACGTTTTCCAACACATCGTCGATTAAATAGAAAAATGTCATTTTTCAAAATTAAAAGCTAAAGTCAATGAAATTAACCACGCCGTCTTAATCATTATCTAAATACTTTTAAAATGATATAATACTTCTGTGTAAATTTAAAACTTTAAAGGAAAAAACAATTTAAATAAATTAAAAAAAAAACAAACTTTAAAGACTGGTCTTGTAAAAAAATTATATTTTGAATACTGCCATTTTTCTATTTAATCGACGATTTTTTCTTTTAAATAAACTTAACCTTAAAACTGTGATGAAAAATATTACATTCCCGCCGTTTTACTTTTTTTAAATCGACCTGCTGCCTACTGGCTAACGGCGCGCGCAGGACAGTTCGAAATTTGATAAAAAAAAGCAAATAGTGTGATTATGGAATACAACTTCACTATTTGCGTTTATAAACGTATTTTATGTACTGCTTTATATAACGAAAACCCGTGAAATTAGATCAACTTTACGAGCAAGTGAGTTGAAAAACAACATTACGCTCTTACTAAAAACGGCGTAATTGAAAACAAACTTTAATTTCATATCTGTTAATGGTATAGCGATGCATTTTTTGTTTTCAATTACCCTGTTTGTATATTAATTTCTATCACAACATTCAATCTAATTTCTTATTCTAATTCATATTTATAATATCTATACATCATTCAATGTTGTGACAGACATATTTCGTGTTCATATAAAATTATATATGTTATTATTACATATCACTTTTCACCTAAGAAGCCACTTATGATTTGTTCTATTTTCTGTTTTAACATTCTATATATACTCTATGTATAATAATTATCGTTCGCATTACATTATTTACAATTTTCTCAAAGCCAAACATCTTTACACAGTATAAAACAAGTCGCCGCTGCTGTCTTTCCGCTTATATCTTTTAAATTACAATACGGGTTTTAATGAGTTTTCTGCGATAGATTCAAGGGGAAGGTTTATATGTATTATGTATTTATGTAATGTTACATGGAAGAGTCCACTATCTAGTAACCGTTTTACCAAACGGACGGGCCGCATGCTTGATTGCCATAACACTTGTATAAAAAATAAACAAGCTGACCCGGCAAACATTATTTTGCCATATTGATGGAAGTACTAATATCGCTGTTAGAAAGAGTTGAGGGTAGAAAGGAAAATTTTGGGTTGTATTTTTTTTCATGCCAAATCATAAAGAAATTTATTTTTATTTTTATTTCAGACCACCCCTATCACTTAATTGGGTGAAAAATAATTTACAACCTATTCTATGGGTCTACCATTGAATATGAGTAAAAATTTCATAAGAATCAGTCAAGCTGTTTCGGATGAGTTTTGTTACAAACAGTTCTTTATATATTAGGAGATATAGTCAAGCCACAAGTTGAGAACAACTTGACCAATTTTATTCATCTTTTTTATTCTTTTTTATTTTATACTTTGTAGAATGTTCCTAAGGAACGAAAAGTTTTGATGATTACCCAGATTATAGAAATATAAAAAAAATAAAACAATATTCTAACTGAACTGTTACATGTATGATCTTGTATACTCAATAAAGAATTTTTCATGACATTTCATTTGACATCATATAAAATTAATTTTAATTAACTGACAATAACATAAAACAAAATGCAACAGATAATAATCTGCGAAATACAATACAATAGATCGATATTGTGACGACACGCGTTTTTGTACGCTTAGATTTAAATTTCGAATCTCATTTTAAAGGTTTAAATAAGTTACACAAGGAACCGCTTTTCATAATGTTCTCAACAGAATCAAAAACATTTTTTTTTTTTAATTTTATACGTAATTGGAATAATAGATCGACATCACGTACGTCACAAAACATTTTAAAACGTCCGTGATATCTGTTATCCTTTGCCGTTCCCGAACACTATGTTACACTTCAGTACCCTGTTTTTAGTTTTCATATAAATAAATACAAAATTAATTAACTAATTTCTGATTAACTAAACTTTGATAACTTGATCTATAATTTTATAAGTATTAATAAAAATTGTCTTTGCTACGGAGAACTGGCTTCCCATAACCTTGCTGGTAGAATATTAAATATTTTTTTAACAGGAAATCAAACGTTTAAATAATTTTGTTCTGTCAGACTGCCTGAGCGGTTGACATCTTAGAATACAATAAAAAACACTCAAATAAACTTAATTTAAGCACTTTTGAATAGTCATAGTTTTTTTAATTTACTGCTCATTCGGAAAGCTGTCTCTTTTAAATAAATGTTGTAATTGTTTTGAAATATATATATAACATATGACTATTAGATAATAAATATACATTTTATGTGGAAAATATTGACTCTAGTGTCCATTATCCAGGGAGAAGCCAGGGGAATTCGTTTGTATTTGACCCTATTCGCTTTCCTCATAAGACGTTGACTGCCACGGCAATTTTCATAAATCTGGCCAAAATGACAATTTCATTCTCATTATATTATTAAAAACTCTAATTCTTCTGCATAATTATCATCAAAAAGCATAAATAACTGTTTTTTAAGTTTCACATCCAATAATATTTTATTTTATTTCTTGAATTTTTTTTTATTCCAATTTTAGGCAACTAAACACTGTACAAAGTAAAACATAGTGGGCAGTCAACATATTAACTTAGCAATACTTGAACGATACAGTAACTGGCCTATATTGTTCGTATGCACAAAACATATAATTTACCACACGGTAACAAATTAATATGAAATCTATCGCGGGATATTTAAGAGCTATATTGTATTGTCTTAGTATATCATATTATTCTAACAACGCCCACCTCTTTCCTACAGACCTTTCCTACAGACCTGACGTGTTCTCAAAAATTACAACAAACAAACTAAAATTTATTCTTTAAAAACATTAATTACATTCAAATTATTTATTGATAACATTTTTTTGTTGTTTGTCACGAACAAATTTAATAGATAATGGAAAATGTTAATGGAAATCTTGTTTAATTAGATTCACAATATTATTATATATTAATTAGATAGATTCACTGATAGGTTTCTGAGATAGAGCTCTAGGCTATTTTTTATTTGTAACTTTTTTAATGATGAAATAGCGTCGAATAGGTGGCGCTGCGATAGAGCTGCAGGATTTATTTATATATATATATATATTATGATTTTCAACAGTGTTGCTACATAATAATATATAAAATTAATCGTCAATATTTTACGACACTTTAATATACTCTTCAATACAACAAACTGGCGAGGATGAGGCAGTTAAAATTCATATATATATATAAAAAACATAAGTAAAGTTTATATTATTTGTTTAACTAATATAACCAGTATCTTGGATATTATATATTAACAAATTTAGATTATATTTATTAACCTGATGACCCAATGGATGTATTAACATTTAGTATTTCCAAACCGATACGATTGAACCTTTAAGAAAAGATCTTATTCCTTCTTAAAATGCCGGCAACGCACTTGCAATTTATCTGGTGTTGCTCATGGCCGACGGTAATCACCTACCATCAGGTAAGCTACTAGCTCGTTTGTCTCCTATACTATAAAAAAAAAGTGGCAACTGTCATCGAGTTAGTCAACTAACTCTGTATACAGGACCACAGATAATTAATTGTGTTGCCAATACGGATGTGTTTCGAATATTCCCAGTCTCACTGTTTATTTTTTAATTAAGTGTGGGGATTATGAAAGCCAGCTCGTTTGTTCTCTATACTATAAGAAAAAGTGGCAACCGTGGTCGAGTTAGTTAACTAACCCTGTATACCCAGGCATAGATTACCAGCGCCGTGACAGTTAGCTGTATACAGCATATGCTGAGTGTCAGCCATGTTGCCAACCATATATATAAATAATATAAGATTATTTTTTGTAATTGTTCTAAGTGTGTATGTATGTATGTATGTGTATATGTATATGAGTGTGTGTGTGCATATGTATATATATGTATAAAATGTACCTTTGTCAAATGTGTAAATGTAATAATGGTTGTCAATAAATGTTTTTCTTTCTTTCTTCTTTCTTTATATAGAATCACAGATACGGCAATTGTGTTGCCATTCCGAGTTTCTCTATTTATTTTTTTTTAAGTGTGGGGACTATGAATGCGGCAAGACAGACTTTCCAATTTTATATACAACTCGACAACATTCTACCTATATTTACTGATAATTCCTCATTATCACAGTGCTACACTCTGTATCTTCTAGAATTTACTCGATATTACCATCTATTACAGATCGCCCATTCAGACCAATAAAGAAAATAGTTTCTTTTTAATTACAAACATTTTACGAGAAAACACCAAACCGTCAATGTATTCTCCATAGGAACAGCAAGCTTCTCTATCACACTGATCGTCGCCTATGACCTGCATAGTTTCCGAAGCATCTTGAACTAAATCTTCACACCCTGACATCATTGTCTCACCGGGAACCAGACCAGTTTGTAGCCGAACTGTTAGGATACCAACTCATCTAACGCTTTATCCCTATTGAATTCGTGTTTCGCTAGCGCTGCCGACACTCTGCCTTCGGGGAAACCCAAGTCCATCAGTTCTCCTATGATAAGAAGACCTTCGATCACCTGGAAATTGTAAAAAATATACATTAATATACATAATGTGGCATCGGATGTGAAATACTAAACATTGTGATTGATTGAGTTTTTTTCGGACTACTTTAATGATGTTGGCTGCAGCTAACCCTTACAGCCTCACTGGACGAAGAGGGCGAATGCAGATACAACGGACTCCAATCACACGGAGGGACTTATGGAGGGGTTGAAAGTTAACTCTCGCATGACGACTTTAGTCTAAGAGCACCGTTAGAGGGTTGGAACTTCGGCTCAGGCTTTCGTAATTTCGATCCCCGTTTAAAATGAACTCATGTATTGGAGAGACGACCGTGGACGCCGCTGTGGTGCGCCCGGGCGCGCGCAGAAGCCCGCTTGATTGCGCAGTATGGTGTGATAAAGGTCGTCGTCTTCCCCGGCGAGAACAGTGTCGTGTTTGTGTGTGATAGCGTGGTAGGGACGGAATGGGTCAACCCGTTGGGAGGTTAGCTGCCGTTATGGAATTGATTTAACACAAATACATTTTGTACTCTCATCTATACATATAAATCAAATTGGAGTGTCTGTTTGTACTATCGAAATAACCGTAAAATGTTTACTACTGGGATATAAATATAAATACGGTACATACACCAAAATATAATTTTTTACTATTTTTGTCTGTCTGTTTGTTCCGGCTAATATATGAAATAGCTGGACCGATTTTGATGGGACTTTTATTGGCAGGTAGCTGATGTAAAAAGGAGTAACTTAGGCTACTTTTATTTTAGAAAAATAAAGTTCAATTGTACGCGGACGATGTCGCGTGAACAGCTAGTACATAATATATCTCAGGACGATTCACACAACGTCATGTATGCCAAAACAAGCACTTGTTTTGGTGATCATGACCTTTAATCGACTGATATAAATACATATATTACAAACATTGTTTTATAAATATATATAATGTACACAATTCTCCGCTACTTTTATTTTAGAAGATGTCGCGTGTATAGCTAGTAGGTAATAAATGTATCATCAATTTTCCTTTTCGTTGGGAATACCAGCACCATATTCGCAATGAAAAGAAAAATTGATCAGAAATATGAAATAAGTTCATACAATGAACATGATCATGATGGATTAAAATTTTGCATAGCATTGTTTCTTGGCTTTCTTCCTTTATGGCTACCACTGTTTACATGTACAGAACATTCAAATGTACAAAACTCCTAGTATGATACAAAAAAGAGCACAATATGTAAGAACAATAAATAATCTCAACTGCTTCAATTGACTGACTTCAATTCAATCATATCTTTTAAGCCTACTTAAGAATTCATTTAGTACTAATTGAAGTAGAGGCACCGACCTTTTCACCCACGCATTAAGGAGCACTTAAGCCATTCGTTTAGTTTTTTTAAATGAATGATAATCAAACCAGTGGATGATGATAAGATGAACATGATTCAGGTCAGTTAGGTCATCCTGGTAAATTCAACAGGAATGTGACATTCAATAGAAATATAAATAATCTTTATTCAAGTAAACTTAAAATAAGCACTTTTGAATAGTCAAGTTTTTTTATTCTACCGCTCATTCGGAATGCAGACCTATCACAAGAAGAATGAGCAAGAAACTTGTGTGTGAGCAACACATTTTAAATAAATATTGATTTACTTTTATTATTAAAATTCATTATTCAAATATTGATTCAATTATGATGGGTTCCAGGGGGATCCGCATAGAGGTTAATTTGACGTGGTACATTGGTAGCAAATAGCAAATTGGGTCAGTAGTCCGCATATACTTAACAATTCCTTTCCACTGCCATTCATTTAGTCATGTGTCAGATTTTTTTATTGATGGTAATGGAATGATGCACACCACCTGCGTTAACGGTTTACGCCGGCGGGCACTAGTGGAGGATGATAAATGGGGATGAAGTCAGACCAGTTACCACATCTGGGCAAATGGCAATTAGAACAATGGTTTCCAGGGACAACCTGACATGGTACATTGCTAGCAATGGGGTTATTAAGATAAAGATAACTATCAATCCCCATGTGTTTGATTGTAGACAATAATAACAGAAATATATATGCTGCAATTTAATTTCTAATAATATACCATCGTAAATTACCAGACTTCAACAACCTGGCATAAGCTGGAATATCTGAGGCTGAATTCTCAATGGAGAATCACCTCTCATGAGATTTGATAATCAATTAATCTGGTTATAGTCTGGAAAACTGATTGCATGATTAATGTAGAAAAAAAATATAGCATCATGGCTGAAGTCCTAGATGGCTACCCCAGCCAGAGGCATTGTCAATTATTCAAACCAAATCAAATTAGTTGTGAACCTTAATATATTCTTCTTGAAAAATCACATCCTGTAGTCTCTAGAGAAACCACAACAGGTAGTTAATTGCTCATTTAAAATTTAAATTTTAAACTTGTGAATAAAGAAGGAAAATTATTTACATGAAATTAATCTATACATATAAATAAAATTGAAGTGTCTGTTTGTAATATTGAAATAACCATTTTTTAGTACATGCATAATATCAATATAAATATGGTACATACACCAAAAAAACATTGTTTACAATTTTTGTCTGCCTGTTTGTTCCAGTAATCTCTGAAATGGCTGGACCGATTTTGACGGGACTTTTTTTGGCAGGTAGCTGATGTAATAAGGAGTAACTTAGGCTACTTTTATTTTACAAAAATAAAAGTATCCTATAAGTAAGTAATTAATTAAAAACAGTTAATAATAAAGAATTAAACTCACCTTTTTATCATTATCTCCTAAAAGACTACAGACTCTAGCAACTCTGTCTAATGGAAAGCCCATTCCATGAATCTTCTGACATATACCCTGTAACTTTGCAGGCAATTTATCATATGGATTTGGCAACTGCTCTTTTCTTCTACTCCTCTTATCTTCCTTCTTCCCACTTTTGGAAGTCTGAGGAATTGCTTTTGGAGCAGGACTAGCGTTATAAGATCTTTCATTAGCCCTAAGTTTAGCCGATGCTAATTCTTCGTCTAATTCCTTAACTATATCTGGAACACTTCGAGATCGTGATTTCATCGTACTTTGCGATGTCACAGAGGAGTTTTGATTGTCAGTATTTTTATTATGTGCTACGTTGTAAGGCCTCGTAGGAGAATATTGCAAAGTATCTGGTGGATTGAAATAATAAGGTTGAGGAATGTACGTAGATCCATTTGGTGCTTGGTTTGCCTCTGATGTAGCTGGTAACTGAGTACTGTAATAGTTCGTATTTGCTGGGAATTGATTATTAGGACTATAATATTGATAATTCGGCATATACATGTTTCTATTGTCCATAGCTACAGTGTTATCACAAGAGTTATCTCCTAAGATGTAATAGCCATTAGGAACAGGGTACTGTTCCGAGGAGTATACCGAAGTTGGACCATGAATGGGTTGTTCCGTGTATGAATTTGGAAGATATGTAACACCTTCTAACTGTGACTGCGACGCACAATTGGGAACTACCGTATATCCCTGCTCTGGTATATACATCTGCGGATTACAACTAGTACTGGAATCCCTTTGACTCTGCAAAACCTGTGCCAATAATTCCATATCATTTATTGTCTTAAGTTCAACATTATCAAACGGGCTAGACGTATCATTTTCAAAGTCTTTAAAAGTCAATGTATCAACATTTGATTTGTAATATGGTATCCTAGTTATTTTGGCAGTCATTTTCAATTCTTGTAGAGGATCAGGGTCATCTAATAAACTGCTTTGTTGGGAATTTGACTGCACCTGTATGGGTTGAAGTATATTCAATGGAGATTCTGCTGCAGTTGTAGTCAGTGGATAGGGAACATCTTTAGCATCAGAAAACTCTGGACTCTCTTGTGTGGGGGTTATATCACAGGCTTGCTCGGGTTTATCATCAGGGGATAATGCACTAATCTCATCAGTACTAGGATAAGACACTTCTGATACACTCAGCTGCTTCAGTTTCTCTTCAGCTTCCGCTACTGCTATTGCATCCAGTTTCTTTTGTTTTACTTCTTCTAACAATTGAAGGCGATGTCTCCTTTCGTTCTTTTTCGTTTCTTTCGCACTCCTCAGCTCTTTTATTTTAGAAAGTACGTTTCTCTCGAAAGTAGAACAGTATTTGATGTTCTCAACATTTTCAACACGCAATGGGCAATCTGTAATGCTGTAAGGTAAATCTATTCGAGGTGGTCGCTTATACTTCTCAGATATTTTTACGGGCACTCCGTCCATGTGATTCATGACATATGACATATCAAATAGTTGCAGCACTAGATATTACAATTAATCAAACAATGAGATGACAAAAGTTTGTTTCTATTGACTTTTTGCACTTCTAACGTTACATTGTTATCGTTCATTGGCGTCACTAGATACATTCAATTTTATGACCAATAACAAAGCTGTTGAAACTTTTTGACTTCTCCATGACTAAGGAAAAATATATTGTAAGAAAATAATTGAAGAATATTGAAATGAACAAAATAATTTCTTACGTGTGTGACTATGACATTGATGTCAAAGTCAAAAACAAACCTAAACCTTCAGTTGAATCAATTTTGTTGCAAGGTGAAAAAAGAAGTTGAGAAAGTCATGTGATTCATCAAGAATTAAAAAATTAGTCATAAATGATATATTATGCATATTTAAAAAAATTGTTAATTGGTAATATAATAACAAAAAATGTGGTAATGATTAAGTTTATAATTTTAAATCATTATGACACTTGGCATAATGCTGGTTTGTTATGGAACTTCATAATTTGAATGAAAAAAAAAATTAAATCACGTGTAGATTTCTTTGCACTCCGTCAGATGTCGCTAAAGGGTTCTTAAAAGTCATGGCGGATTTTTTCATTTCATTTTTAGTCATTTGTGCTAATTCGTGGGTAGATTTATTGTTACCGGTGTAGATTTTTAATTTTAGCTCGTTCTGTTGTTAAGGTAAAGAGACAAACGATCTAAGGCCACATTGTAGCCACTGACAAATTTACGATAAATTTCGCAGAGACGTCGGACTTCAGACAAATCGTCTCGAATTTCGTCGCTAAGAAAAATAGATTGTTCAATTTTGTCGCTGCACTATATTTTTAATTAATTTATTACGCCTACGATGACACAGTAGCGGGTCAGAAGCGTCAGTCCGCCATCGGATTTAACGATCGAATTACAGGTCAGTATCTTTAAAGTAATAATTTAATAATAATTCACCGGTGATTAAATTAAAAAATTAAATTAATCGTGATTTTATTGGCAGTAGAAAAGACATGAGTGAGAGTGCACCGGTAATGTACCACGGGAATGGGGGATACGGCCAGGGTTCTATGTACATGGTGCCTGGTGGTGAAAGACAGAGGCAGTACCAAGTGGAATCGGTGTCGACGGGCGCCGCGGGAGCCCGCGGTGGCGGCTCGCCCGCGCGCCTGCATGGCTCGGGCCGCCGCTGGACGCAGCGCCGTGACAGGCCACTCACAAACAAGACAGATAACAGGGCATTTGGATATGATTCGGATGATTCTAGTTTGTCCAGTAATGCATCTGGATCCAACAAATCTGGAGATAAGGGTAAGTAAATGACTACTTATTACTATAAATATGTTATATTTATGTGTTTTTAAATACACAGTGTGTGGGTAGTTTTCTAGATGAAGGTCTATCTGGAAAACTACCAAATAATGTAAAATGTAACTCATAATTAATGTGTAACATTTTAAATACTATACTGTTTACCCTCAAAATATTTAATCAATATCATAAATATTTGTGTAATATACCTGTAATTCACTTCATAAAATTCACACCCATTTAGATTTCAATTTGAAAATGTTATTGATATTAATATTATATATATGCTTTTATTACTGTTGACTATTAAGTTTATATTTTTCCAAATTATATTAGTTTATTTGTAATAGATTGATTTTTTCTTCAGTATGTCTATGATATTTTTAGTAATTATTAGAATATTAATTATTAGATTGTATTTTGTTTATTCAACATAGAAATAGGTGTTTAAATTCTGATAGAATCATAACCCAATTCCAATATAGCCAACTCCAAATAATATAAACAAATTATAGTTATTTCAACTTTTAAAAAAATCTAGCAATACACAAATATCATACAACAATATTTGAAATTTGGACTTATATATTTTATTATTTACTTATGTATTTTGTGGCCTCATTGGTTTAGCAGTTGAGCACACTGGATTACTTTCGATGGTTATGGATATGATGCCTCGCATAGTGCAAATAATAGTACTCATGGGTATGATTGTTTGTATCGGTCTGGATGTTTTCTATGTTGTATGTATTTATAAAAGAAAATATGTTAAGTATTTATATCAGTTGTCTAGTACCCATAACACAAGCTGCTTACCATGGGACTAGATGGCGCTGTGTTAATTGTCCAGGGTTATTTATTTATTAACGACAGGTTTGGGGTTCAATAAGTAGACAGCTTTGAGATATTGAAATCTGTACTGGACTGTTACTAAGCAGGAAAATAGAACACTTCCTGTTTATGATGTCATATGAAATAATATTTGCTCTATGACATAATCTATATAAATATTGTTTACTACAAGGATAGATTATTTTAATTATTCTTTACGCATTCACATATAATCACCTTAGTCATATAACATAATACAGGATAAAACAAGTTGTATCTTGATGCATTACATTCTTGTGCCATCAACACATAAAAAAGCTAGTTTTTTCATCATCATCAAATCATATTACTAGAAAATATCATTGAAATTAAAAAACATCATGTCAGGTTCCTTTTTGTGACTGGACTGTACATATTTTAATTCTATTTAACATACAGTAATTACAAACAATTAAATGACCTTATTTTTATAATGGTATACTATTTTCATTGAACATACTTTTCTTTCAAACTTAATAGATAATTTGTTGATTTATTTTAGACAATAAAATCTGTTTCCTGAGAAGTATTTGTTTAAAAAATAACATGTTCTTGTTGGAAGCAGGCAATTTGTATGAATTATTACCAATGTGGTATAGCTACCCATAAATAGTTTCCTGCCACTGCAATTCATAGTCATAAGCCACTTCTTGCTTGATGAATATTTAAAAGTTAGATAAAACAATTTTTTTTTAATAATCATAAAACCTAGGCGTAATATTATTTATACCAATATTATAGAGAGTAAATAATATTATCATCATTGCCTTGCCTTTATCCTATTATTTGAGGTCGGCGCAGTATGTCATTCTCTTCCACTGCTCTCTATCGGTCGTCATATCTGAGCATACTCTTCTTTTATTCATATCATCTTTCACACAATCCATCCATCTTTTCTTAGGGCGTCCCCTCCCTTTACATCCATCCACATTCATATTGTACACTTTCCATAAGACATGATCCTCGTTTGAGTAAATATTATTAGTATGTACAAAATATCTCAAAAAATCAAAATCGTAACAATGACTATTGAAAATTGCTTATTAAATTGTTTATTGGAATTAAGTTTATTTCTTTTTCTGTAACTGATTTTAAACATCCATTGACCTACAGATATTTACATTATCAGTCACTACATATTAATTAGAACTTTATTTATTTATTTACATCTTACATGCTTGCTATAGTTGTCAACCAATATGGCCACTTAGGAAGATTACATATATATATAAATTAATTAAAAGGTAAGAAATCTTAAGTTTATAAACTACCTAAATAATCTACTACAATCCTATGAAAATCCAGTATCATTTATAAATGTAGTAATAAGAAACATATCCATTTATTCCTTGGATCCTTGCTGAACTTAACTTTTTAATCATGAAACAGTAGTCTGCCAGGTTACTATTCTACCTACTTACCCTCAACTCTGCACACAACGGTCCTAATAGAATAGAATAGAAAAATATTCAAATTTAACCACTTTCGAAAAGACTGACTGATCACAAGAAGAATGAGCAAGAAACTTAGTATAGTATAGAAAGTTCTGTATTAAAAAAAACTTAAATTTAAGCACTTTTGAATAGACAGTTATATTTAGTACCTACCTCTCAATCAGAAATATATTTGATCACAAGAAATACGAGCCAGAAACTTGGATTTTTTTTTATAACACGGGACAAACGTGCATGCGGCTCACCTGATGGTAAGTGAATACCGCCGCCCATGAGCACCCGCAACACCATGAGAATTGCAAGTACGTTGTCGGCCTTTTAAAAAGGAATAAGCTCTTTTCTTGAAGGTTTCAATATCGTATCGGTTCGGAAATACCATTGCTGGAAGGTGATTCCACAATGTGGTTGTGCGTGGCAAAAAGTTTCTAGAAAACCGCACTGTGGAGGACCGCCATTCATCCAGATGATCAGGATGGTATTTTAGTTTCTGGCGGGTGGTACGGTGGTGAAACTCAGCAGCTGGTATTAATCCGAACAATTCCTCAGAACACTCCCCGTGATACATGCGGTAGAAAAAAGGTATATATATATATAGGCATTATCTGAGCTTGCGTGTAACTGCTTAGACCACATCATCACTTAACATCAGGTGAGATTGCGGTCAAACGCGCTCAAATTATGATATAAAAAAAAAAATGGATGCTCTTTTAAATAAATGTTACAAGTCTAAATATAGATAAAGTTCAATTTCCATTTACATATTAACTACTAGCTGTGCCCGCGATTTCAAACGCGTGAAATTTATAGCCTATATGTTATTCTGATGTATAAGCTATATTACTGTAGTTTCATCGAAATACGTTTAGTAGTTTTTGCGTGAAAGAGTAACAATCATCTATCTAGACTCACAAACTTTCGCGTTTATAATATTTATTAAATACAAGTATGTAATGAGATTTAGAGTTACAAATAAGCAAGTAAGTGTTTGAGATGAGTGTAATAAACTACTGTTTATGAACGTCACATCAATTTACAAATGTTACGCATATTTATTACATAACACAGTTATCTTATGTTGAGATAAAAGTCTAAGAGCTGACTGTTTGAACTTACGATAACTAAAAACGTATTTATAGTAATCTCAAGCCAGATATAGAATCATTTGTTACAATAACAGATTTATTGTTAGCAACGCATAATTAGAATTATTGTTGTTTGTGTTTTATAATTTACTAGCTACTCGCCCCGGCTTCGCACAGGTGTACATGTATTATACATAAAAACCTTCCTCTTGAATCACTCTATCTATTAAAAAAAACGCTTCAAAATCCGTTGCGTAGTTTTAAAGGTTTAAGCATATATAGTGACGGACAGACAGCGACAGCGACTTTGTTTTATACTATGTAATAATAATGATGATGATGTCAATTTTAATTGTCAACGCTTAACATACTAAGAGCACGGACTCTAGGTCTCTTTCTCTTCCTCGGTATGTACTCGACATGGTGGTGGGGTCAGGCTTCCTTACGGAGGGAAAAAAATAAAATTAGAATGTAAAAATTTGACGTTCATAAACGGCTAAAATGTCCTACACGAATAAATGATTTTTGAATTTGTTTTTCTCCGCCAATTTTCCCTATCCCAGACATCGTCTTCAGAAACCTCGCACTCCAACATATCCCCAACTACACCTTCCCAAAAAAAATTGAGTGGAGAAAAAAAATTACTGTAGTGGAAAGAATATTAAAAAAAAAATAACTCCATATATTTGCACTATCTAGAATCAAACAGACTAGGCCTTGTACTATGAACTTAGGAAATCTGATATACTTAGATTTTTTGTAAATATAAATGGTTACCTATTACAGCATATAGAAATAAAAAGTGTAATACAGGTCACATTTTATCAATAGTTCGACGACCTTGGTGGTCTAGTGATTTTTTTTTGTGCATGATAATGAAGATGATGATGATTGCGCAGGCGGGTGCACCATGCACCCGCCTGCGCTAACGGTTTACGCTGGCGGGGCACTAGTGGAGGATGATAAGATGAGCATTAGGTCAGTTAGCCCATCGTGACAAATTCACCAGGAATTTAACACGATGTTCCAGGGGGAACCGTGTGGAGGTCAACCTGACATGGTACATTGCTAGCAATGGGGTTATCAATCCACATTACTAACAATTCCCTTTCCCCCGGTCTAGTGCTTTAGCACCGCCTTACTTTCCGATGGTCTCTGTTTGATTCCTTGCATGGTGCATTTGTCATCGTCCAATAGTGCCCTGCGAGCGTAAATCGTTAGCGCAGATAAATGCGCCATTCCATTATCATCCATTAAAAAAAAGTATAAATCTATCTACAATTAATGCAGGCATTTTGTTAAGTGGAATATGGAAAGCAACTGTTCCATATTCATCCATTAACTAAATGTGTACAAACATTTCAGTCTTTGAGTTTGCTGTAAAGTATTTATAACAACACTAGCTTTTACCCGCGGTTTCGCTCGCATAACTTCATTACTGACTGCTAGATGGCGCTGAAGTACCAAAAAGTTGGTTATTTTTTTATAAAAAATGTTTGTTCTTTTTTTAATAAAAAAATCTCATGTTCATTCTAATACCTCCAAGAACATGTGTACAAAATTTCATGATGATCGGTTCAGTAGTTTTTGCGTGAAAGCGTAACAAACATCCCTACTTACACACTTATAATATTAATTAGTGATTTACTCGAGAGAGCAAAACGTAAATTTCTGCTTTCCGAATGAGAGGTAGAATAAAAAAGATGTCTTTTCAAAAGTACTTAATAATAATTAAGATTCATTTCTATTCAAAATTCAAAATATCTTTATTCATGTAGGTCTGTTGCAGACTCTTATGACCAAATCTACCGTCTACTATTGAATAGTGAAATGAGCTTTAACTGTTTGGCGTTGAGTTAAGTAGGTACTTTCAACTATATTTAGGGTATTTATGTTTTTATTCTGTGTACTTTATATATTTCAATATATATATATGTATATTTAAAGTATATATTATATTTATATAACATAAATTATATATTAAAGAATTATATGTACGTAGATTTTGTTTAGCTAATTATTTATTATAGTATTAATATCACAAATTTTCGCCATTACTGCCCTACAACGCTTTCTAGTTCTACCCAAAGGTTAGCTGGTAGAGAATGCCATATGGCATTAAGCTCGCCTCTTGTACACTCTTTTAAAGTGCAATAAAGAATAAAAAAAGAGTACCAGGCATGCATAACTTGTCTGACGGTGATCTCTTATCACCGTCAGACAAGTATATATGTACCACTCAGAGGTGATAATTATTTATTCACGTTACTGTTTACATATGTATATTAGAGAACGCAAATTGTGTCACTAGGCCAATATCTATACGTATATGATCTTGTGATTTCATTTATTTCTAAGTGAATAATTATAACTCTTTGAAATCAAAATAATTATTCATGAAGAATAATTATTCTTTATGCTCATTCTTCTTGTGACAAGTCTACGTTCCGAATGAGTGGTAGAATAAAAAATATGACTATTTAATTTATTTAACATCATCCTGATCATATGGATGAATGGCCTCCACAATACGGTTTTCTATAAACTTGCCACGCACAACCACATTTTGGAATCACCTTTCACTAATGGTATTTCCGAACCGATACGATATTGAAACCTTCAAGAAAACAGCTTATTCCTTCTTAAAAGGCCGGCAACGCACTTGCTATTCCCCTGGTGTTGCAGGTGCTCCACTGTGCTATAAGAAAGTGTGTGTTAAGTTTATTTGAATAAAGATTATTTTTATTTAATTTAACTGGTCAATACATCAGGCCAGTTTTCAATTGAGACCACATTGAAGTTCTTATAGGATGGGTACAAGGATACATAGCTATGGAGTCCCGTTTCTTATTTCAAAAGTTATCTATTATATATTCTTACTGGGGACTAGCTGTTCCCGTGACTAAAATAAAAGTAGCCTAAGTTACTCCTTATTACATCAGCTACCTTGCAAAAAATCGGTCCAGCCATTTCAGAGATTAGCCGAAACAGACAAACAAACAAAAATTGTAGAAAATGTTATTTTGGTGTATATATCGGATTTTGAAAATAATTGAAAAAATGCACGTAGTAAAAAACGGTTAGTTCAATATTACAAACAGACACTCCAATTTCATTTATATGTATAGATAAGTGTCATGCAGACGAAGTTGTGAGGGCGAACCCTCACAACTACGTCTACGTCACAACAAGTACATTATATACCAATTAATGTAATTAAATGACAAAGTAAATCAGACAACAACTAGATCTAATCAATTACGATTCCCAGTTACGTATGCCCCCGTTCACGAGTATGACGATTACTGTTAAACAGGTGAAGGGACATCACGCGAGCGTGACAACGCAAATGTGCCAGTACAGCATGGAAGCTACTCCCGCGAGTGGAGGCCGCGGCGACGCGAGCAGTACGTGCGACAGCGGCGGGTCATGCCCGACCGCCACCTCAACGCGTCATACTCGTTCCAGGTGAAATTCACACCGGATGACCTGCTCAATGGTAAGTCCTTAACGCCAACAGTTAAGTACGCTAGCCATGTACCATGTTAGGTCGACTTTCACGCGGTTCCTGGAAACATTGTTAAAAATTTCTTGGAGAATTTGTCACAATGTGCCAACTGACCTGACCTCATGCTCATCTTATCATCCTCTCCTCATTATCATACATAAAAGAAAAAAAAAGGTATTTACCTCTCTCGACGTTTCGACTAGGTTGCACTAGCCGTGGTCACGAGCTGACTTCATGAGTCAGCTTAAGTAAGTAAATACCTTTATTTGCCATAAAATTATTCGTGTTAAGACCCGGTTAATAATTTAAATAATGTATATTAAACACGAAAGTTTAAAATTAAATAAAAGAAAAAAGTTAACTACACGTCTGAATATCCCGTCCTGTTAATATGCGTGAACGTATATTTTAATAACTGAAGAAGCAATCAAGTTGCCGGTTCACGGGATGTAATTAGTACTACATTTAAAGGCAAAATTGCTGTTCTTAAGTATCGTTTATAAAAATTCAATGGGTCTTTTTTGGGAATGGATATAAAAATTTACAATAAGATATCAAAGGATATATTGGAATTCCCTTTAAATGAATTTAAAACGTCTGTTAAATTATATTCATCGACCAAACATTGATTGGTTAAATGACAAACGTGCATGGCAATAGTCGTTCATGTACGAGATTTTCATTTAATGTTAGACATAGATACCTATATATATACTAACTGTCCCGGCAAACGTTGTTTTGCCTTAAAATAAAAATAAAAAATTTAGGAGTGGACTACATATAAACCTATATAAATATATTGTTATCTTATATATAAAATTTCTCCTGTGGCACGAGAATTTTATATATAAGATTGTTATCTTATGTAGAAATTCTCGTGTCACAATGTTAGTTACCATACTCCTCCGAAACGGCTTGATCGATTTTTATGAAATTTTGTATACATTTCAGTAGCTCTAATTCATGAACTCTGAAATGAATCTATTTTTCATACCCCAAAGTGATAAGGGTCGTCCACCCTTAACATTTTTTTTATTTTTTAGAGATTATTTTTATTATGTGGCATTAAAAATACAACACCAAAATTTCACCTTTCTACTACCCCTATTTTTTAATAGCGATTTTAATTTATATGACAAAAACAACGTTTGCGGAGTCAGCAAGTACATAATATTTACATTCAAATTTACTTATCCTCATTAATTACGCAGTAAGCAGTGAATACTCACAATAACTAAGTAAATACATATGTTATATAAAAAAACACTGTTATTCTGTGGAACAAATTGCCCAACATGTTTGACCAATTGTTCTCAACACCTGTGACATTATATCCATTGAAACATTGAGATTATTCTAGAATATACATTCTTGAATAGTTTTAATATAGCGGTGAAACCTTCGTGACAAATTCTTGATGAATTTGTCACGATGGGCCAACTGACCTGACCTCATGCTCATCTTATCTTCCTCCACTGGTGCCCCGCCAGCGTAAACTGTTAGCGCAGGCGGGTGCACCATCACATTATCATCCAAAAACTATATTTTTTGAAGTGAAGTAATAATTACTAAGAATATGTATATGATACTACAGAGTATAAACATGTACAGTGGGAGTATACTCACAATAACTAAGTAAATACATATATTATATAAAAAATCACTGTTATTCTGTGGAACAAATTGCCCAACATGTTTGACCATTTGTTCTCAACACCTGTGACATTATATCCATTGAAACGTTGAGATAACTCCAGAACATAACATTATTGAATAGTTCCAATATAGTGGTGAAGTAATAATTACTAAGAATATGTATAGGATAGTAGAGAGTATAAACATGAACAGAGTGGGAGATTGTCAGCCAGTGCCCATTCTGTATTATTTGTATACAAACACCATAACTAAAATTAATAATGACAATTTTAATTTTTAAAGTCTTTATCATTTAAACTATTTTTTTATATTACGATAGTGGCAAACAAGCATACCATCTGATGGTAAAAGGATTACCGTAACCTATGTACGCCTGAAACACCAGAGGTATCACGTGCGCGTTGCCGACCCTTAAGAAACCTTAATATACCCTTCTTAAAAAACTCCATACTGTTGTCTCGTGAGAAAACCTGGGTAGGAAGTTCATTCCACCATTTAAGTGTACGCGGGAGGAAGCTCCTCTGAATCCGCACTATCCGAGACCACTTAGGTTCCAAGGTTGATTGGATAGATAAATGGCAGAACAATATTTTTTTTAATGATTATGAATTAGTTTACAATAATGAAAAACTATTTGTTTCAGGTTCTAAGTGGGACACGCTGTCACAAGAGATCTGGGACAAGTTCGTCAAGTCACAACAGACCGAGAAAACGTTCCAGAGGAAAATGAATCTTTGGAAGTATCTCTACGTCAATATAAGGGTAATTTTCTAAAGATTATTGACGCTTCTCATCCTATTCAAATGGGCATCAAAACGACGACGTCCGGTGCCAAAGTTCATACCTCTAGCAGTGCTCTCAGACTAAAGTCGCCACGTCAGGCCGGAGTTCGCCTTCAGCCGCTCCATAAGTCTTGTTTAAGTCTAAGTTTGGAGTAGTCAAAAAAAAATTAAGGTGTGTGCATTACTCCATTATCCTTACTTACTATATAATATAATAATAATATTATAAATGTCAAAGTACGGATGTTTGTTTCGCTTTCACGCAAAAACTACTGAACCGATCATTATGAAAGTTTGTACACATGTTCTTCTAATACATACCGTATTGGAATGAACATAGGATACTTTTTATTTTAACAACGAATATTTTATAAAAAACAAAAAATTATATATCAACATTTTGCTACTTCAGTGCTATTTAGCAGCCAGTAATGAAGTTAAGCGAGCGAAGCCGCGGGCTAAAAGGAAAAGCTAGTCATCAATAAAAATAAATTTTGCAGAACTTGTTCCCGCGGTACGGGCTGTACGTGGTGGGGTCGACGATGTCAGGGTTCGCGCTGGACGCGTCGGACATGGACCTGTGCCTGTACGTGCGCCCACTGGAACACCTGGAGCCGCGCGCCCACGCCCTGCTGCACCTCAACTACATCCTCGCCTACATCAAGAGCTTCGACCCCTCCGACTTCGGACTAGGTACCGTCTCCTTCTCTATCTCTTTTTCGATTATCTTAGTGATAAACTGCCTCTATAGTTCTATACATCCTCCACCCTCTTTCAGTACGAATCAGCTTACGAAGGTAAAATTGTATATGTAAATATAGAGAAAGACAACAAGAAAGACCGCGCGCACGCGCATTCACGCGTTCATCAATTCAATCGTGAATGCTTTAGTGCATTGATAATAAATTAAAAATTATAAAATGGCCGACAACTAACGGAAGTCATAGTTACAAAGTTATTGATAATTTATCAATATTATATTGAAAATAAGATCTGTGGAATAAAAAATAAAATTTTATAAGAAAATGAAATACTCGAATAATACTCGCTATATTATATGCAAAAAATAGTAAAATGCAGTCACACATGATTGCGCGCGCAGGCTTTCTGGCATTTCATCGCGAATATAATAAAGACTCGTCGGACTTTGTTCAAAGTCATCTGCGTGTTTGAAAGTTAGACAGTATCCTAAACTACTACACTAGGTATGTAGACTAGTGAATTAACCCTTTAGACGGTGTCTTAACCCTTAGAAATGCCAAATTATTAGCGTTACCACAGGCATAATTATGCAAAAGTGCTTCAATGTAAATTTATTTGAATAAATTATTTTCTTTTCTATTCTATAACAAGGTATTCTGTAAGATACTATTCTGGTCTAAGCAAATTTGCCACCCTTGCTTAGACCAGAATAGTATCTGACAGAATACCTTTATGAAAATTACAACCCTTGCTTAGACCAGAATAGTATCTGACAGAATACCTTTATGAAAATTACAACCCTTGCTTAGACCAGAATAGTATCTGACAGAATACCTTTATGAAAATTGCAACCCTTGCTTAGACCCGAATAGTATCTGACAGAATACCTTTATGAAAATTGCAACCCTTGCTTAGACCAGAATAGTATATGACAGAATACCTATATGAAAATTGCAACCCTAGCTTAGACCCGAATAGTATCTGACAGAATACCTTTATGAAAATTACAACCCTTGCTTAGACCAGAATAGTATGTGACAGAATACCTTGCCTTACCTTTTACCTTTACGTTTTGCATGTAAAAAAACAGAATTTATACCTTACCTCAAATTAACTTTACTGGTCTATTATAGAGTATGATGTTTACAATATACTATAGTGTTTGCCTTGAAATGTAACACTTGTATATACAATGATATACAAGGAACCTATTTGTTTTCTCTCACTGGTGAATGAACTTGATTGATAGCAACACGTGTACCGTTTGTGTAATTGCTCTAATGTAACGGAGTATTGGGACTAAGGTTTAAATAGATTCATACACTTGCTTGCTAACGGTATACTTTAGCAGAGCACCAGTGGAAGATAGGGTGGGCAAAAAGTCAGGTTGGCTCATCGTTGCCCTTTCATTAATCGATTGGTCTATCAGTCTCTTGTCCACTCGATCGATCCCCTACTCTCTCAGTAGGGGACTGAGAGAGTAGGAGATCGATCGAGGGGACAAGAGCTTATTAAAGCTAAAGTCTATACTATATTATATTATTCAGAGATCTGTTAAACTGTTTCCTAAATTGCCAGATAGTTTTGTTGTCTATCATCCTACCAGACGCATTGAAAGCGTTTATAATTTCATATCAAATTCCTTATTTTATGAAACTCAAGTTTTTCACATATTACTCGTAACAATTGAGTTTCTTATAACAAATTTATATGATAATTTTTACACCTTTGTTACCTGCCAAAGGAACCACGATCCAGGTTTCATGTGTGGTGATCGTTCTTACGTGTGTTGGGGACACACATACAAGAACTTTCACATTTACTAATAAGTCGGTATGTCTGACCGTCGTATTGCTTGCTTGCTATTGCGCACACTGGCTGTCCTGCGATAAATTGATTTATCGCAGGTCATATAGAAGTCGATCCGAAAATAAATTATTTTGGACAATGTTATATATTAAATGGATTGTTTTCTAGAAGCGGAACTGATTCAGGCGAAGGTTCCCATATTGAAGTTGCGTGACCCACGCAACGGGCTGCAGGTGGACCTCAACTGCAACAATTTAGTCGGCATCAAGAACACCACACTGCTCAACAGCTTCTCAAAAGGTAAGTAGGCCAGGATAGAAGTGTGTTTAGTATGACCATAAAGTTATATAATTATTGAAGACCTCGGCAGTTTTACTGTTTAGCACACTGCATTACTTTCGATGGTCGCGAATTCGATTCCTTGCACGGTATATTTTTTTAATGAGTATGATTGTTTTTATCGGACTAATTATGTATGTATTTACAAAAAAAATGTATCTATGTATTTATATCAGTTGTGTAGTATCCATAACACAAGGTCTGCTTAGCTTGGGACTAGATGGCACTGTGTGAGTTGTCCTGAGACATTATTATTATTGCTAGCTGACCTACACAACTTAGTCTGCTTCACACTTGACATTTCGCCTTTTTAAATTGTAACCTATCTGTTATTCTGAATAAAGTTTCATCAAAATAAGTTAGTATTTTTTGCGTGAAAAACTAACAAAGATCTATCCATCCATACTCACAAACTGTCGTGTTTATAATTTTATTATTAATGTTTGTGTTGCAGTTGACTGGCGCGTGCGTCCACTGGTGGCTCTGGCGAAGCTGTGGGCACGTGCGCACAATATCAACGACGCGCGACAGCGCACGCTGTCGTCATACTCGCTGACTCTCATGGTCATACATTTCCTGCAGTGTTAGTACCACAGTTCCACTTTATTTACCACTAGTTTTTACCCGCGGCTTCGCTCGTATTGAATCCATTAAATAACTTCATTACTGGCTGCGAGATGGCGCTGATGTTGAACTAAAATATAATTTTGTGTCAGTTATTTAAAGGGTCTGAATTTTAATTGAAATGTTATACACATATAAACACTATCGAGCTTTTGAACTCCTGTCAAAATTTGATTATTTCCAATAAATTGGTCCATAATTTCAGTTATAGTGTTTAAACTTCTCTTTCCAAACGCCAATTCTTAACGAAAATTATTTTTGCTCTTTGGAATCAATACTATCACTGTATTTGATTACTTCTTGCTCAGTTAATTCCTTAAAATCTGTATTAGAAAGACTAGCTGGTGTTTCTTGAACTATTTCCTGAACATCCTACCTTTGTGAACCATTTGGAAACCTAGAGCTGTGCAAAATTTCGGGGATACCCTGGGTTGAAATAAAGCAGCGCTGGGTTTTCAGTACAACGTCGAGAAAATAGTTCAAGAAACTATAGCTAGTCTTTCTAATAATGAGTTCAAGGAATTAACCAAGCAAGAAGAAAACAAAAATATAGTTAAAAGAAGCAGCTAGTCTTTCTAAAAACTTTTTTTTTTTCTGACTACTCTAATCATGTCGGCCGCAGCTGGCCTTTATAGCTTCACCGGACGACATGAGGCGAGTGCAGATGGCATCCGAACCCGCGGAAGGACTTATGGAGCGGCTGAAGGCCAACTCCCGCCTGACGGATACGATTATAGTCTGAGGGCATCACTAGGGTTTCGGACCTCGGAATCAGATCCTCTAAACAGCATTAAGCGTGGTCTTACTGTATATTATTATTATTATTATTTACTAGCTGTCCCGGCAAACGTTGTTTTGCCTTAAAATAAAAATAAAAAAATTAGGGGCCGACTACCCCTAACATTTAGGGGGATGAAAAATAGATGTTGGCTGATTCTCAGACCTACTCAATACGCACACGAAGTTTCATGAGAATCGGTCAAGCCGTTTCGGAGGAGTATGGGAACGAAAACTGTGACACGAGAATTTTATATATAAGATTTATTTCAGGCAACTAGGCCCATATTATAAAGACCTTATAAACTAACATACATATGAAATTATATTTTAAAACGAATATATTGACATTGTCTGTGTGGTTACGGCACTGTAGCGCCGATACACCACACCCTTCGCCCAGTAGTCCTCCTAATGATGATGAGTCATGATGATGCAGCATTTTAGTGGTGACCCGGGCCATAAACACCTTGAAATATTGTGTGTTCAGGTGGTACAAGTCCTCCGGTGATACCGCCACCGTCTGCTGGCCGCACTCGACCACACAACCGCTCCACGCTCGGGGAACTGTTCCTCAACATGCTGCAGTACTACGCTGAGTTCCCGTTAGTATTGCCACTACTTATTTATTTATTTATACAATATTTGAAGTTCTTTTTTTATTAAAACTAATATATCTAGTAGATATATTAGTTCTTGGAAATCAAATGACTTGCACATTTGTAATTTTTTAATTGCTGCTCCTCTTCTATTGGTCGAAGCGTGATGTTATGTAGCCCATAGCACTCGGGGATAATATACCTTTGTAACAGTGAAAGATTTTTTTTAAATTAATATTATTGAAAATCATGTATATGTATATATTTCTATAAATTTACTATTTGTTACTGTACTCTTGTTAATTAATTTCATATTCTCTGTTAACTTTATAATGCCTTTATACGTAGTGATGTAATTTTTTTAAGAATTAGTCTATTGTTATTAGTGAAAGCCTGTCAGTGGCTTATTATGATCTATATATTGCTTTTATTTAAGATGTACTTGAATAGCCTTGGTTTTCCTTTAATAAATAAATAAAAATAAAATAATCAGATCACCAGAAGCAGAACCAAAAGAGAGATTGTCACGAACAAACAAACTTTACCTGTTACAATACTTTAAATTACTAAAGATGTGAGGGAAGGCATGGAACAATCTAAATTAACAGTTGTCATTTTGGTCGATTTCTCCTCTAACAGTTGTCGATTTCTCCAATGCATTCAATATCATTGAACCACGATTACTCGCTATTTTTTCACATCTCGGAATTTCATCGTCAGGTGTTAAATGGTTTAGATCCTATCTTCCTGGACGTCAGCGGGCGGTTCGTGCCACTTTATATCGTAACGTAAGGGGGCGTTCAAGTATTACGTAAGCACTATCAGGGGGCGCGGGGTCTTTGCTTTGCTTATTTTGGATGACATGGGGGGTGGGAAGTCCAGATGGTGATACGTCATCGGTAGTTATTTACTTTTTTTACACGAATGGCAACCCTCATATTGTTTTTGCTAAAAAATATTAATTGGAAAATGTTTACGTAAGCATGGGGGGGTGGGGGTAAGAGCTTTGCTTACTGTTGCTGACAAGGGGAATGGGGGGGGTAAATAATTGTGATATATATGCTTATGTAATACTTGAACGGCCTCTAACGTAACTTATATGGTCATGTACTATTGTGGTATGTTATGATCAGGTACTCGACAATGGCGATCTCAGTGCGAGCGGGCGCGAGGGTGCCCGTGGCCGAGTGCAGGCTGGCACGACCCCAGCGAGATCCTCACCAGTGGAAGCTGCTCTGTGTCGAAGGTAGCCACCCCAATATAGAGTAGTAGTACTGGACGGTAGGGAAAAAAATAAGATGATAATGAAAAAAATTTTTATGTCCATAAGCGGCTACTTGAATAAATTATTTTTGAATTTTGAAGTTCAAAAATAATTTTGAAATTGATTCCTCGCACGGTGCAAACATTTGTATTCATAAGTTGTATTATATATTTACAAAAATATATATATATATCTAAGTATTTATATCAGTTGTCTAGTACCCATGACACAAGCTCTACTTAACGTGGGACTGGATGACGTTGTGTTATCTATGGTCATTTATTTATATATACATATATCTCTAACAAATATATTACTCGTATTGTATTAAAGGTATATTAACAATGAAGTGCGTGTAGTATGTACATATTATAATGTTGGACGTGTGTGCTCCAGAGCCGTTCGACCTGTCGAACACGGCGCGGTCGGTGTACGACCCGGAGTCGTTCGAGCGGATCGTGTCCACGTTCAGGGACTCCCACCGCCGCCTCGCGGCCGGCCTGCGCCTGCACCGCGCCTGGCCGCCCGCCGCGCCCTGACCGCTCCGCGCCGCCGCCGCCGCCGCCGCCGCCGCTCCCACTGCTTCGTGTTACCTGTTGGTTTGTTGTCTGCGGACGGCTCGCGAGCCGCTCCCTTGAGCGTGACGCTGTGACCGGCGGCGTAGCGACTATAGTCTCGTGGTGCTCGTCGAACGGCGAGGATACTCGTCTGGACGAGTCTCGTTCTTAAACTGTGGTGGTTGTAAATATTTTTCTCATTGTACGCGTCCGTATAGAGAGGTAAAGACGGTCGAATTAAGATGGTATAGTGATTTTGATGACGCGAGATCCTAATTCGTATAAAACGTGTTTGTAAATAACGCTGAATTTAATAATCGCATAAATGTTGTAACGAAACGCTGCCGGTCCACAGTGACACCGCTGAAATTGTGAAGACTGAATTGTGTGCGACTGCGACTCGTACTGGCAGGATGTTGTGACGAGCTCCTCATCTCGGCTCCACTACGAAATGATTTGATGTATTTATTACTTGTAAAGTTCAGGGTCGTTGCACTCTTAAATTAGTCAGAAGTCTATGGTCAGTTTTTATTTATACGAACATACATCTATGACTGATTTAGAAGTGCAACAATTGTAGTGTAAATCGGAGGGTAAATATTTTGCTACCTCATTTTAACCGAATTGTTATGTTGACCCTTCCTTCAGTCAGTCGCGTACGCATTTGTTAGGGCGTACTCTGATGACGTAAGCGACTCTGAAGGTGGTACGAAAGTGTACGTAGACCGTCACTTATGTACACTAAATTGGAGAAGCAATATTCAGTGGCTTCGTAGAGTCGAGTCGAGCGCTGCGTCTACGGCATCCTATTCGTTTTTATTGTTTATTTATAAGTTATTTAATGTGTACATAGTAAGAATGAAAGTTATAAAAAAAAAGCGTATTAATATTGGAATGTTTTAGGGTTCGTATGTTTTATGTAAATAGTATTTTTGTGAGGAAAGGGTTAACGACAAAAAAAGTATATGAAGTGTTGGTCTGTTTGGGACTGTTTGTCCGGACGGCGGCCGACGTCCGCTCTAAAAGGGTGGGTGTTATTGGCTCGTTAACTAGCTTTTACACCGCGTTGTTAGCGGTGACTCTTGGCGCTTGGTGGAACTTTGCGTACATTTTATAGATACGAAAAACTCATGTACTTATTGCAAAGATTTCATTTATAAAACTACATCAAACGATTTCGCCTCCTTCTGACCATTATCAAAGGTTTATAAATCTTAAAATTGTTGTTTTACTCTGTGCAATTACATAAAGATTGACACGAAGGTGAAATTAATAAAAGCTAGTTAAATGAAGTTTATAAAAAAAATATTATTTTAATATCAAATAGTTTTAAATATGGATTACCATTTTTTACAATTATTACCATTTTAGTAGAATTATTTCTTATTTTATTCATTTATATATCACGTTAAATGTAATGAATTAATATGCTTATGAAATAATAAAATCTGCTTTTATTAATTTTACTTTTCTGTCGTGTGTTTAAATTATTGCACAGAGTAGACTGTATACGAATTGAAACTAGATAGCATGAAATAATATTACACCACAACATCTTTGTACTACGTTATTAATAATGCAAAGAAATGACGAAATCTGTCACAATATTGTAAAAAAACTGTGTAATAAGTACATGAGTTGTATGCATCTACAAAATGTAGCTTCTAACCTTATTTAATGCTATATTAAGGTGCTACTAGTTAGTATAACTCGCTCCATAATTCAATAAATTTGAATGGTGCTAAATTATTTTGTTGCCTTAAAAATCGGGCGCTTCCCGCAGCGCCCTCTAGTTATAAACTCGTGTAAATATACCTCATGTTGACGGTTGAACCCGCGGAGTTCCTATACAAGTGATACAAATATAAATAGCATATCTTTCAAATAGCAAAGATTGTATAAATTTATACTCGCCTAATATAGGAATTCTATGTCGCGGCGGAAAGTGTAGTCGAAATTCTAAGTCATAAATATATTCAATACGCCATAAGGTTATTTAAAATGTTATTCACATATCTTTTATGTATCATGCAAAGTTTATATTGGTAATGTTTAAATGTCAGTCCACATCACACGACACTACTACACTACGAAAATTGAACTAACCATCTCAAGAATTTGTTAAATCATAAGTATCTATAACCTTCAGCTCTAAACAAAATCTAATTGTAATATGCCAATAAATATCTAGAGTTACTTTATAGGAAATGCAATTAAAATTAAAAACGTAAAACACACTCGCTTAACACGCAGCTCCGCAGTTTTTACGCAACGTAGCGTATTCGTTACGTAATTCCACAACACCTGTAATAATGTATTATAGCCTTTATTTCATCCTAAAATAAGTTTATATTACAAGGATAAATACGTATGCAAACAAGTCGATGTGTGGTTCGCACAGCTATGGATACACGTGTAATATATATATAGGCGTTTTTTAATACAAACGGAACGTGTATACAACGCTAAAAATGCGGTCTCACGATGCACTTTGCGTGCCCGTGTTGTACGATTAAGTACTTACTGAACGAAGGTTGTTGCATAAACATGACGATATGTTCGGGTGATATGGACACTCATTTATACAATATCCATACGCATTCTCATTTATGAACTGTCTACACGTCAAATGTAAACATTTGTTGGATTGCTGCCTGTAATTTTTGTTTGGTGTTTGACAGACAATATGTTATATATTTGGGAATGTTTATGCATTTAACTTTATATATATTTAAATATAAGTTTGTTTTAGCAGTAAAGAAGCATTACACTAGTCGTTGATAGATAGATATAGATAGTATATCTATCTATCTATACTAGTCGTTAATGTAATAGTAATAATGTTTGGAATAATGGCATCAGACCGATATGTTTCCAGAGATGCCACAAATCGTTAAGTTTGCTATCAAAGTTTAGATGCGAAATTATTGTTCCAATTATTTGCGAACTAACTAACCAAATGGTTAGTGCCGGCGGCCGCGAGCGCACAGCCCGCAGACGTGACACGCTAACGACCCACGTACGGACACGCCTGCCGATTTTATATATATATTGTATAAGTTTTATATCGATTTTACATAAGAGGCCCTCGGCCGCGCTGAAATATTAAAGTACAATAAATGATTTTAATAACGAGCCTATGTATAAGAAAACTTGATAGAGTAATAATGAAAGTCTCAAGAACTGTTATATTTGTAATATATATAACTGTTTTATTAAAAAAAATATATATAATAAAACTTGAAACATGAACAAGAAAAATAATATAATTGAAAACTATAAAAAAAGTTGTAAAAAAATTAAAAAAATGTAAAAAAAAATATACAAAAAAAAAAGAAGAAAATGTGAAAAAATTTACTTGACTCATAACGAGGTCAGACTATCGCATGTTATTACTTAGTTTTTGGACGTCCATCTGCCTCCAACATTCGCTTGTCATAAGCTACTCAGTCGACTGTTGTTTAAGCAACGAATTACAAATGTCACATCACTAATAATCATGTTGTGAGATTTGTAAAGCGATTATTACAAGTCAGTTTCTATTTTAAGCCCCACCCTACCATGATGTTTGCTTATGTCCAATGGGGTTATTTATATCATCCGCATTTAATTTAAATGCTATATACATATATAACATTTAAAATAAATGTGAATTTGTCTCGCAACCAGTTCCTAATGTAGCACCTACAATTTTACCTTAATAAATTTCATTGTATTTGCAATAGAACACTGAATGACTGGTTTGCTTTTTTTCTAAACTTGGTGCTAAATTCTTTCTACTATTTATGTTTTATTTAGTAGGAATATAAAATTTCATTGTATTTGCAATAGAACACTGAATGACTGGTTTGCTTTTTTTCTAAACTTGGTGCTAAATTCTTTCTACTATTTATGTTTTATTTAGTAGGAATATTAAACAGACAGGCACGACCGCATTCAGTTTTACTTGCGCTTGCTAAAACTGTCGGTGTACCTACCGGTGTATCTAACGAGCATTGCTCTCGTATTCATTAAAACTAAAATCTACAAAACCATTTTATTTCAGTTTATTTCTAATTAGGAAAATGTTTTGAAAGACACAGAATTGTAAACATATTTATTGGACAAATATATTGGCATATCATCCACATGTATTTGACACAGTTTTTTTGTGAATGTCTTTTTTTGAAAACATACAAATCATTAAATTATATATATACAATACCATTACAAAATATTCGCGTGTCAACAATTTTAAAGATTAAAAATAATAATTTCAGACCATGTGATTAACCATATTGCATGTTTGGTTTCGTAGCTAACAACACAGAATTAGAACATTGATATAGGTACAGTTATAACTTCACAAGTTTCCCACAACATTGACCGTGGTATCTGCGAGCTGATGATGCGACGTGCCTGCGCCCGACTAAACCGCGCTATTTACTATTAATTAAATATTTTTGGCAGCAAAATTAACGCGACGAAGAGGGAGCTAAATGGTCACAAACAATGATAATTGGAAGTTTGCCAATATGCGATGTACAACTGAATTGTTTTTATATATATATAACCATTTCTTGTTTTATGGATGTATATCAATAATAGAATTACATTGAAAGTTTATTAATTAAAAAAGTACATGTATTAATAATATTGCTATTATTTTATACTACAGACAGTTTCTGAAAATTTGGATCAAAATTTTCTTTCTATATAAATTAAATTTTATATTTTAAATCATCAATTATCGTTCAATGTTTGTGGCTAGTTTTAATGCAGTTTGAATAACATTATTCTATCACTGCCCATTTATAAAACGTATACACTTTTACAATTTATAAATTACATATTGTTTACGTTTTGTGTAACTTTGTTGCAAATTGTATTATTGTACTCAAATGATCTAAAACATTAAATTGTCAGTTCATAGAAATAAAATGCAAATTTCGAGTTTAAATTTTTTTAGAGTAATAAAAAAGCGATCTTCATATCTGTATGTATATTGTATATAGTTTCGGCTGTCATATTAGGATTTAGAAAATGTTTTGTCAGAACATTTTTATATTTCTAGACTTGTGTTGCATTTTATTTTATTGAACACAAGCAGTTTTTATCATTATCATTGTACAAAAAATTATTGTAAAGAAAATATTCTGTAATAGTTGAAATATATACAAAACTGCCAAAATTGACTTTAATTTTATTTGTAGTTTTTATTATATTTTATTAACTAGCTGACAAATGTCTTGAAGGTGCGGTCGACGCTAGAAAGGTGAAAATTGAGGTATATTGTACTTTTCGCTGTTGCTACTGTGTTCCGAAATCCAAAACTAATTCACTTAGTCACTTATGTAAGTCAAGTTTTCATATTAATATTTTTTCCGCATTGATTGTACTTATATTAGGTCCTTGGGGACTAGTTTTCTTTTAAAAGTATGCATGTGTCCACCTTTCGGTATTCCTTACTAGTTTTAATACCGATTTTATTAGGACTACAGTTGAGATGTTTTAGAGATATTTAGTGTGAAATGAAAAACGTTATATCTTTTGTCATTATTTTTATTGACAGTAAATTTTTCGTACAGGGTACAAAATGAAAATAAAAATGTCTTATATTATAATAAACAAACATTGCATTTTTATAGATACTAAGGTCGAATCTGTTATTTTTTACAAATCTATCTAAAGGTTCCGATTATATAAAGAACCCGACATCTAATAAATAATCTTTAGATCACTTATATACCACAGCGTGGCATCACCGTATTCTTAGCGTATTCCACATCAGACAAGTTCCATTGTGTGTTTTATGTCAGATCAATTAAAATTTTATAAAAATTACTTCAGTAAAAATTAATTTCGATCACTACAATGCACCATGACCTTAATTATTGCTTGGCGTCACAATAATTGCACATGTACGAATAAATGTCGTAATATTCCTGGTAACATTGACTATAAAATAAATTACTTTACCGGAATCGACATTGCCGACATATGCAACTGTTACTGTTACTTTTTTAACATAGAAATGATTTCAGAAAATAATTCCTGGTCTTTTCATGGAATACTCGCACAATATACGCCTACTATGGAGGCGTAGAGATACTTATAAATATACAACTTATCTAATATAGAACAAAGTATCGTAAATTACGGCTCCACTATGCGGAGACGCGCTCGTGCCGGCCGCACGGCGCCCGAGGAACTCAACTTCAAACAGAAAATACTGTAAACCTAATATAGTAAAAGAAAAACTTACAATCTCTATCCATACATACAACATTATCTACGCAATTCCTTGCAGTGTTCGAATCGCGTACTATCCCTGTCAATCATAAATCAATACTAGATTACAAAGTGTAGAATCTATAAATCCTAACTTACGCTACGAATATTTTGGGACTACATTTAATTTTGGACAGATCACCGCGTTTACGTTATCTAAAGTTTGTGTGACCGAAAATAAACTGTGTACAAACTTACACCGAATACAAACTTCGTAAAATATGCAAATTCTGCACAGTGTAAATGAATCAGTTTTTGAAGGCCCTGACATATACGACCAGAACGGACCATAACAACCATTTGCGAGTGGAGAGAATTTTATAACGTCGCGTAATTTACATTGCTCGTCGCCGTTGTGTCGCAGTAGTTTTCGTGTGAAGGGCAGATCGTGTTTATCCTAATTACTTTTTCACGCTATTCTCAGATGCATCCATTTTCTCTTCCGTCTTGACGATTTTTCCTTCACCTGGAAACGAAATATATTGTTATTTCCGCGGGAATCGCCTCTCGAACCATGATAGAAGTTGCAATATTAATCAGGTTGCCATATCGTCAACGAAATCGCGAGCGACGGCGTCAGCAATGCAGCAACGAATAACTCGTCACTTGCGTCGCGTCACCGTCACGTCGCGACATCTCACGACTCGTCATCAAGTCTCATCATCTATGTTGTGAATTGTCTATTTAAAATACCAATTTCTTTTTGTTCGAATGGCAAACAAATTAACTGACCACATGATGGTAAACTGTAACCATTGCCTATATACGTGAACAGCACTACGAACACCAATCAAACATCACCTTCTAGAGAACTAAGATATCCTGCCTGATTATTCTTTAATTTCACTAATTACAATACACTAAGGACTCCGCTCAGCATATTGCAGTAGTCGAAGTTACAGTGCTGATTTTCAGAGGACTAAATAATATCATGTAAATAGTACAATAAATTGATTATAGAATAAACAAATCTGAATCGTTAACCAATACTTTATTTATGGGCGCTGCTTGTGGAGACTGGTCTGTTCGAGTTACGGACACTGATTAGACCATTTCCTTTTGACAAAATTGCTATAGCACATGCTGGTTGCTCTATTCTGCCAAATTTTAATTTTAAAAGGAATCTGTATTTTTGTAAGCTTACAAAAAAAATAGCTATAAATAATTAATTAAGAAACTAATAAGAGCTGAGTTTCTTGTCAGTTCTTCTCAGCTCGAAAGCATTCCGAACTGACAGTAGATTTCACATATCAGTCTGTAATTTTTTTATTCAGGTCTACATGAATACAGAAGATTTAGATTTTTTTTATTGATATTACACGATCGTTAGATGGGAGAGCCTATGTCCAGCAGTGAACGTATTCTGCGATGATGATGATTCTTATCCGTTCTTATCCGTTCAACCGGGTTTAATAGTATGTAAGCTGCATACCATTGGGCTGGTCACCCTCAGTGTCGGTGTTGGAGCGCCTGCGCTTGCGGGGGAACTTCCACCCACCGGTTGCGTGCTTCACCTTCGGCAGCGGCTCCATGTCCAGCACCTGCCGACAGGACACCACATTACAGAACCACTATTTTATATTTTACTAGCTATCCGCCTCGGCTTCGCACAGGTACACACATGTAAACTTTCTTCTTGAATCACACGATCTATTGTCAAATTGCTTAATCCCGCTTGCGAGAAGTTTTAAATAATTGATTTAAAATTTCACTGTCTTCCCTCTGATGGTTGCGGGTTCTATTCCTCACAGGGTACAAAAACGTCAAGTGTTCGTATTAAAATCCCACAAAATACTAATAATTATGCATTTGACCACTTATAGCAGAAAATGTTTATTTAGGAAAAACTAGTATACTGTACAGATCAAACACTTACCTTGTGAATCTGCCTAAATGCTATTTGCCGCAAGAATTGTTGCGCTGACGCAGTCAAATCCTCACGTTTTTGTGGCGGCAGATTGCCGAGAGCATCCTGAAATGTGGTATTGAAAAATTATTTACTTTATACAGAAAATGTCATATAAATAATTTTTTTATTAAAGACCTCGTTGACTTGCGTAAATTTAATAAAATTTTATTTACTAAAGCATATTATTCCATCACGGATTATTTTGGTGTACATCAAGTGAGTGGTGTGTAGTGTGCGGTGTACTGACCACGAGCTCCTTCTCGCAGGGGTCCCGCAGTCCGGGCCCGTGCTCCAGCAGCAGGCCTCCGCTGACGGCCTCCATGACGCGTCGCAGCGCCTCCCCGGGCGACAGCGCCGCGCCCGCAGACTGCATCACGCCCGACACCAGCAGCTCCATCGCCTGCGACCACCATCCGGTTACAAACCACACATAACTTCACATATAGTATATACAACTATATTAAATAAAGGTTAGCTGCCTTTACAGGACACATTCTTTCACGCGCGATTTCACGTGGGAAAGGCAAAGTACGCAATGGAGTCTATTATTTCTTGTAATCTTTCTTTTACGTATGATTTACATGTGTAATTTTACATTCTTTAAAAATAAACAGAGTTCATTTTCCAAACACACATTTAAGATTTATATATTATCAGTCCTAATTAATATTATAAATGCGAAAGTATCTCTCTGTGTCTACCTGTCTCGCTTTCACGCTAAAACTACTGAGCCGATTTAAATTAAATTCTTACATACATACATACATAGCGAAAAAAGGCTTGTAAGGGGTTGAAAATGTACATAAAAGTTTGTATAGAAGTATAATTTTTAAAAGCTAGAACCTTAAAACTTATGTTTTAAGCTGTTATTTAAATATAAACAAAATGTAAGATAGTTGAAAATGGATATGAAAGATTGTATGGAAGTATCGTCATTTTTGAAGGTAGAACGATGAAACTTTTTCTTTATTTGGTCAAGGTTACTACAATACGCGTGTGTTAGCTGTATAGTTAGATGTCCTCTATTTTGCAATTATAATTACAAAAGGCGCTAAAGGACGCGGGAATGGGCGGTCTATCTCGTTCTCTTTGTCTGCATTTACATGCACATTTTTTCCTGTGTGAAGAGTATACGTATAAAGGCAACTTATAACAAGCTTATGTAATTATATATAGGTTTATAACTCACGTAGGGATTGAGAGGCGTCCAGTTGGGTATGCGGCGGCAGAGATCGCGCATGATCCGGATGATGATGACGCACGACTGCAGGCTGGCCGCCCTAGCCTACACATACACACACACACGTCAGCGGCGGCCGGCGGTCCGACGCGGTCGCCCAATTTATTGCTCCACTCGCCAAACTCTACTCAAACGCTTACTCCATTCAAAAGTTAACAAGGGACAATTATTACTGTTACTCAAGCGATAAAAAACAGAGCAATAAATATGAGAGTCGCTCTTTAGGTTATGTCTAAAACTGCGTTTCCTTGACGCTTCGATCCTCCCATCACCGGCTTACAAAGTGCGGGAAACGCAGCTTAGTTCACGGGAAGCACTCGTAGCCACATGTTCATGGGAGTGCATTATTACAGCATCGATACTTTTTAAAACTTATAAGGCTACTTTATATATTTAAAATAAAACAAACATGTGACTAAGTAATAGGTGCGCGCTCCCAAAAAAACATTGAAAAGTTAAGTTCGACTCGAATCGGACAGCGCGGCGAAGGGAGCGGGAGCGCGCGCCGTGATAATGTGGGCGAATGTACCTGGAACCACTTGGCGTGCCGAAGGGCGGCCAACGCGTCCAAACACTTCTGCCGCGGTAGCACATCCTTGTCGTCTCGCTTTATGTCGCCACCCTCTAGCGACAACAACACAAAGGGTGTTTGACCATCAAAACATCGACGAAAACGGGGCAAACATCAAGTGTGGCCTACGTGCTCTAGCTCTAGTGCGCCTGCGGTCGGGACGCGATTTTCTGCGACGAGCGAATCGCGCCACGACCTAACTCACTAGTTGAGGCCGTTCGTGAACTAACGGGCCAGTATAGTGATATAATGGCCCGTTTTACAGTTCCGGACGAACGGCCACACTACAGTACTAGTACTTGAAGGGCAAATATATAAATAAACATATGGAACATTAGCCTACCAATTTGGGTAATATATCAAAGGGAAAGAAAATAATATATATATGTACATAATATACAAAGAAAAAGTCGCTATGTTTGCTCCGTTTCAGTAGATAGAATATACCACTGCGGAGTCTAAGCGCACGTGATATATAGATGATCAAAAATCCTTTTCTTCTTGCTGCTCGTCTAACCCTAATCACACCTAAAAATAAGCACTCAACACAGTGCCCGGCCGGGCGTAACTATGAACAAATTATCTTTTTTTTATTATAACACAATATATTCAAAAACAAAAATATATTTAGTAAAATATATCTCATATATAATACATTATATATTAGAAATGGTGATACAGAATAAATTATTCCCTGATTAGATAGTTTGTTCTGGTTCGATCGTACGGGAATAATACTGACGATTCGACGACCAATTTCATCCGTGCATCGTTGCATACAATCGTCAAATATTGTGGTAGAGCAGCGTACAGCTGAGAACAAGGGCGAATCAGTACATGCAGTAGTACCGCAGAAATAAGCTCCAGTTGTAATCTTCGTGGTAAATTAAATACAGATGTTCATGTCCCTAGTACCGCCGATACTCTAGTGCTGCTATGTAATCAATGAATCGGTAGTTTTATGATATATCAAATACATTTTTATGTTTATTTTAGAAGTGTTTTATAATTTAATTGAAGTATATGTCGCAACTAGTGTGCGAGCGATCTGTTGGTTTTAATTTCGGTCGAATTCGCCGTAATATTCAAGTTTCGGTTTTGTTCATTTCTAGACAGCTGATTAGCTGAAACTATCACTAAAAAATAAAGTATGTACATGAATTAAAGGAAATGTTTTCATTATCGTCAATGGTTATTAAATAGTATTGATCAATAATCAAAACTAATACTACTATTGTATTAGTATATATTACCTTCAACGAATCTATAAAAGCTAATAAAAAATGATATAAAAATCATACATTTAAAATAACTAAAATTATGTAAAATACATTAACAAATTAAAAACTATATAAAAACTCAAAAGTTAATATCAGGTTCTAGAAGACTAAACTAAAAAAATTATTGAATTTGGGATGAACACTTTTTTCGGTATGTTCGGACACTAGTCACAAATATACATACTAAAATGCGGCAGAAAAATGTTAAAACAGCATAATGTGATATATATAATGTTAGTATTATTATTAGCAACTAAGTGAAAGAGAAATAGAAATAATATGGTAGGCTTTTCCATACTATATAGAGATTTTAGGGTTAGTGTACAGGCGAGCACTTGACTTGATTCTTACTGCAAGTATTCCCATCCGTAACTAAAGTGTCGCTTAAGGCGCTAGCTGATCAGTATGTTGTTTGTCTGTACAAGCGCTTAAGTTTACGTTTATAATGCAAATAGAAACCGCTAAGATGTTCAACCACGCATAACTTGATAGAACTGTTTACTTATTCATGAAGTTGTGTAATAAAAATAATATAAAATAAAAAACTGCACCGCTAAGTGTAGATCAAAATTGGAAATTAATGAATTTTCACCGTCAAAGCAGTGTTGAAGTTTCCAATTTTATCTACATTTAACGGTGACACCAACAGGTAACGTCGTTTTAAATCGTCAAAGATATGCTCTAACTTTTGTGTGTGAAATTCCAAGTGTCACGGTATATTTTAGATATATAATTATTAACTTGTAACTAATCTTTTAATACTGATTCTATTAAACTGTTACTTTTGTAGTACATATGATTTTATTGGATACATTTAATTAAAATTATTATCAGAAATGATTTTATGCAGGGTTTAAGGTACCTATATTAATAATTTTTAAATTTATCTTTTTTTGTGTGCCCGTTTTATTTTTCGTTAAGTGTTCCGCAACAAAAACGTTCGAGAATCACTGCTTAATAAAAAGCAAATCATCAAAATCAGTTCACATCACAAAGTTATGCAAGGCTTTCATCCGGCTCAGCCAGACCAAATCATAAACGTTTTTGGGTGTGTAAAGTGACTGAAAATCAGCGATGTGCCGCGTACGAGTAAACGTTGTTCACAGCATTGGCTGAATCAATCCCTTTTGCCCAGAATATGTAATGTAAATATTGCATATTCTGGACTGTTTATGTAAATTTATACGTACTTTGAGAGTTCATTTATTTTTTCTTTTAACTAAACAATGTATGAATTCAATCTAAGTGTGTTTGTTTCTGTTAATAAATAAATAAATGATTCGATGTGTATATGATAGCAAGCGAGTCGCGATAGTGGCATTTCTGCGGTATTCCGGCACGGGCGAGCTCGTGAGTGAAATTGGCTGCGTCGAGATCGTGGCTGAGAGGAGGCTGGAGACTGACCTGCGGGCTCGCGCATCACGGCCGACGTCAGGCTCACCAGCACGCTCACGTGGCCGTCAGACACCTGCACCGCGCCCTCCGCCGCCAGCAGTTCCACCTTGTACTTGCACTCGTCGCTGGCCGTCTACAACGAGTACTCTCCTTATTAACACGTCGAGGACAACATTTAAAACTTTTATTTCTTCTTACACAGGGACCGATTTTTTTTATTGTTAATTATATTATTTTTTAAATATGTTTTTGGGTACAATTTGAGGTAAACAATACTTAATCCCTAGATTTATTTCAATTAAACTGCCCACTAGTGCATAAACATAATATCTCCTTTGGAGATACACTTATCTTGAGGAGATAAGGTAAGATCTTTACACTCTATCTTGAGGAGATAAAAACCATAGCTTCTAAGAATATTTCCCGATTCTTCACCCTGACGGCTTTAGGTAGTGAATTTTGAAAAAGGGTGAGCACAATAGATCTATGCGGGCCACAGCGCTCCAGGTCCGAGCACCTGTCATCGGGCCGAACGACCGAATAAAAATGATGTCCAGGTGTGTGTGTGACACCTTGAGCTTGGCGAGGTGCAGCGGCAGGTCTGTGGCGACCCTCTTGAGCAGCGTGACTGTGGGCCGGTCGTGGCAGAGCACCACGAGCCGCACGTCGCGGTCGCCGCGCAGCAGCAGCCCCTTGGCCAGCAGCCCCACGCGCATCACGCCCTTCAGCGCGCGCGCCCCCGCCCCCGCCGCCCCGCCCGCGCCACCCGCACCGCCCGCCCCGCCCTCCGCCGCCGCGCCCGTCGCCTCGCCCTCGCCCACGAACGAGAACCTGGCGCCACACATACACAAATAAATAAACAACTACACCCGCGATGCGTAGCGATCTCCTCCTACCCAGACGCATTCAAACTCTTGACGACGATCGAGAATCTAGGTCGTAACACTCTCTCTCAAGGAAGACGAAGCGATCTGGCCCTCGCCCGCAAACGAGAACCTGCGTCATACACCTCGCTCTTATTACCCGGATATATGCACACTCTCGGCGACCTCACCTCCGCCCATGAACGAAAACATGCGTCACACCGCGCTCTCTTATAATCCGGACACATCCACACTCCTCATCCACGAATAAAAACCTACGTCAGACTACACTCATACTACCCAACCACATCCACTCTCTTAAGAACATCGCCCTCGACCACAATCTAGAACCTACATTACACTACGCTCTTATCACCGACCACATACATCCATACTTTCTCGCCCACAAAAAAGAACCTACATCGCACCACTCGCTCTTTATTATCCGGATCAACACTCAACTATATCTCACAAACACTCTCTAATTACCCAATCACATACACAAACTCAACGACTACACTCTCGCCACGAACGAAAACAAACGAGTACTTGAATCAGACATCGCGCTCTTATTACACGACCACATCCACACCCTCAACGACTTCGCATACAAAAAGAAACCTGCGTCACACCACTCTCTCTTATTACCTGAACACATCCACACTCTACCCTATATTTTGAGGTGAATATACAACGACGAACTAACTGTCCTATCTTCGTATTCATTCTAACATCCTCCACCTACACCTCATCAACGTACACTGTTAACGCAAGCGGAAGCACAATTGCATATTACTCCATACATAAAACACACTATTTACAGGGCAAACTAGATGACTAATATTCCAAAAGTATGAACTATATAATATAGATAAAGCACATAAATGGACAAATTTCGTGTGGCATATAACAATTTTCTTGTTTCTCTATATTCCAAACACTATTCTATCATTTACTAAACTAAAATTTACCTGTACAAATACAATTAGGTTTTGAAAGAACTTTCTTGTCTATTGTATCTACAAATTAATATACTACAATATTGCCCCTTACTAACTAACCAAAATTATTACAAACTATGTTAAAAACTAGACTAGATTATATCCTATATTAACCAATAACTCTAGTGTTACGAATATAAACAACTCGTTAAATAAAATACTACAAATCATCCATCTCAACTCACGATCGAACTCTTATTCTATCTTCATTCTCCATTTTTACAACTGGCCGCATATAATTACAGTTGTGGTGCATACTGTTTCAAAATAATATAACAAATGCTTTTAAAATAAAAACAAACTACAATAAATAAAAATAATAAACCAAGACAATTTGAACAGTGGGTAGAGGCCATAAGCTAATCAGAACTTGTGTCCATAATGATGATTATAGGTTCAATTCCTCAAATGATGCAAACATTTGTATTCATAAGTATGATTGTTCATAGGTCTAGGTATTCTCTATGTATAGTATATATAACGCAGATTAAATGCCAAAGGGCCACAAGACGCATATGGTAAATTTTACAGGAGGTCATCAAAATTGTCACTGTGATATTTTTACTTTTCTATGAATCTATAAGTATATATATATCTATGTGTTAGCTAGAATCATGGGTGTCTTTTTTAATATAAAAATTATAACGATTTAGATACCATTTTTGAAAAAAAAAATAGTTTTTTTTTGCGTTGTGGCACTGGCTATTTAATCAGTGATATTATGTTTGTATGATTTTATTTTATATTGAAGCTAATATTCTTTTAGTTGTTTGGTGTTTGGTACATAACACAAGTTTATATAAGTTACTTAACTTGGAACTAGACAAAACTGCATCCTACTGAGTTGTTATTATTATTAGTGTTAACTTTAATTTTTTTTTTCCTTTTATTTATTTCACAGTTTTTTTTAACATATATATATTTTGATTTATTTTCATTCTTAGGCTCCCGCTGCGATTTGATACAGGGGAAGTTTTTAATAAAGTTTTTACTGTAGGGATATATATTATATTATACATAGTTTCATAATTACACATATATTATGCATAAAATATTATATTAAAGTATATAATTAAGGTCAAACTATATACTATAAGAAGAGAAATGGACCAAGGATGTCTTAGATTGGTATCCAAGAGAACAAAAATGGATAACGAGGGCGACAGAAGAGGAGGGAGGATGATATAAGGGCAGTGGCGGGACCAACATGGAGAAGGCCTTCCTTCCCCATGTTGGTCCAGCCACATTGGACAAAGGAACCTGGAGTCTTTTGGAGGAGGCCTATGTCTTGGGACAAGCTGATCGTCAGCACAAAGGCTATAAATAAAATAAAATTTACTATTAACTTAATATGTAACAGTTATTATACTGCTATACAAAGACAATGTAGATAACAAGACTGACTGAATAATATACAAGGTAACAATATGTCACCAAGACATAATAATAGAATTAATACAAATTACTCACAATTGATTGTCGCGGCCATCTTCTTTTCCTTCAGGTTTGTCATCTTTCTTATCAATTTGTCCAGGTTTATTTCCTGTTTGTGCCTATTGAACAATAATAATAAATTTATAATTGCATTCAGAATATATAAATATATACTTACTATTTATTTATATGCTTACGCAATAATAAACAGTTCTCGAAATATGAATGGTTAAAATATTCTATAAACATACATGTTTTTGAATTTCGCTTATTTTAAGTATAATATATATAATAAGTAGTTGAATGGTTGAAATTAGGTTATAATTAATTTAAATCACAAGTTTGAACATTAATACTGTAAATTTCTATTGTCAAAGACTATTTTTTATGCATAATTTAAAAAAATATTAGTATGCATGTATGTATGTACGCAAAATTTAGTACAATTTTTTTTTTTTTATTGGATTGTTTGGGCTATTGTCAGATGTGTAGCACCTGTAGCACTGCGACCTACATAGATCTATTGTGCTCAAAAATTTATTCCTTCGTACTATGTTGTCTAAAATTAATGTTTTTCTCTAATAATGTTAGTTACTGAATATTTTTCTTTATAAAATAAACTAAGAAATAAAGGTTTTAATTTAATTCTACGACGAAGTAATTCTTTTACAACACAGATATGTACCTGTAACTAATATAGTTCTGTAGTTATTGGTATCCTCTATGAGTTATGAGTCTGAGTGCAAAGGGTAAATGTAATGACAATCTACATTTACCGCAGTTATTATAAACTTTAACGATTCTATAAAATTGTACAAAATCAAATTAATATATATACAGCATATTTAGATAGTAACCTTGGGCCTGGCGTGGTCTGCGAGCGCGTCGGATAGCGACTTGAGAGCCTTCTCTGTGTGTGAGACGACGCGCTGTATGTCAGCGAGCTGGTGGTCGTGCGGGTAGATGTCCGCGTGCTTGGCCACCACGTGGCGGTCGTCGGACGTCTCGGGGCGCCGCCCCACCGGACCCACGGGCCCGTACGGCACGCCCATGCCCTGCCGACCAACAAAACTACTTGTAAATATAACTTCCACTCCATTTTCCGCAATCGGCCTCTCATTTGGACCATTATGCGTGTAGAGCCGAGACTACTGACGTGTCCAGCCGAGGTCCTCCCGAAAGCGCAAAACTCTCCTGGTATCTTCACAGGGTTTATGGGGCGACCTCACCGTTCCGAGAATTTGTTTCCGATGTGTGGCTACTGCAAGCACTCCAAGTTTACGTGAGTTTTTCTTCAGTGTCAAAGCAGCCCCACAAAGGGAACTATATGTAGCACCTATTGTGTACAGGTGTTTGCTTTGTGTACAAACGTACTTCTAGTATGCACAATTCAGGAGACTTTCAAAAATGTATTTCTTAACTGTAACATGTATTATTTTAAAATGATATAAATGGGTATTTAGATAGAGACGTGTGAATAGGAAGGACTCTTTAATTTGACTGAACTTATTCTGTATACATTCACAAAGGCACAATGGGTGCAAATAATCGTTATGTTTGTTCATCAAGCAACACTCAACACATCTACTTATCTTGCGATTGATCGCCGATTAAAATAAAGAAACAAAAATGTTTGCTCAGAAATTGGCCTAGAAACACTTTCTATTAGGGAATATAACATTACACTATCTCTTCAACTTGCACCCACCTACACTCTACATGTCTGCATCTGACCTATGATAAATATATGTATAATTGAAGTAAGTTAATATGTGATTGTGTAGTTATGAGAGATATAGAAGATGCTACATACATGGTGATGGTGATGATGGTGTGGCGGTAGAGGTCCGCGCGGCCACCATGGTTCCATGCCACCTTCCCAATAACCACGTTCTTCTTCCTCCATTCCCTGTTAAAAAATCCCGGCAAACGTTGTTTTGCCTTAAAATAAAAAAAAAATATTTACCTAACATTTATCAAGGCAAATCTCAATACGCTCACAAAATTTAAAATCTGCCGTTTATTGATTATTTATATATGATAATTTTCAAACATTCAGATTTTTATTGATTATTTTTAAATTGTGGATTTTTAAATCGTAATATCATCTTTATATAATGATACTTTTTGTGATGAGTGTGTCTCGAATGAGTGGTAAGATAAAAAATAAAAAAAAACTATTCGAAGCGCTTATATTAAATTAGAAATGAAAATATTTTAGACTTAATAAATAATTATGAAACATTTTTTTAAAACATCTAATACAATACCAATATCTTTCTTAACAATCCTGAACTACAGTTAATAGATTAATTGTGTGATGTTAGCAAATATTACAACAAAAAATATACACATCATTTTGAATATTTTTTCGTTTATTTCATACATTTTAGTTGTACAGTAAATATATAAAAAACAATATTAAACCACAAATTGATTTTAAAATTAAATCAGTGTAAACAGGATAGTTTTTTTTATTGAGTTGTTTGGACTATTGTCAGATGATTGAACCTGTAGTAGCACTGCGACCTACATAGATCTGTTGTCGTCGCTCTTTTTCAGAGTTCGATACCTAGATCCGTCAGGGATAATAATTGAAGGATATTCTTAGGAGCGATGGTTTTTATCTACTCAGTATAGAGTGTAAACTTTCCAAAGAAGTTATTAGGTTTATGCATGAGCGGGCTACAACCACATAGGACGTGTAGTGGGCGTTTCTTCAGTTTGGCAAAATATGCAGATTTGAAATAGAATACAATCTCAATATAACAGTAGCTCTTACCTCGTGCATGCGGCGTCGTGCCCAAATTTCGTCACGGACCAGCAGCCGCTGAGCTTTCGCTTCAGCCAGCTTCCGCTGGTGCATGGACGGCTTCACCTTCACCTCCAGGTCCGGTTGTACCTGTACCAAGACCCCCGTAGTTAGTATAAGATGATAACAGTGGGTGGCTATAAGATCGCGCGATGGAACCTCATTGTTGCTCGTAATCATACGATGCCCGGATCTCTTGGCAGCCGCGAACGGCCGCCAGGCTCGACGGGCACCTCAAACCTTTTACTAAGTAATCATTGGTTTAATATTTTTCTTATTGTTCAAGGTTAAGTAAATTGAAATAATAAATTGCATTTTATACGCTTTACACATATTTAGATTTCAGAAAAAAGTTTTGTAGGTACTTATAATTTTAATTAACATTATAAATATTAAATATTTGATTCTTCTTCTTTATTTTAAATGGCCGCCAACAATTTTGATCGGTGATTATGCCATGTCATGGTTTGAGAGACTGTAGTTTGTAGCTGTGGCTTATTTTAGTTTGCTCGGTACAGTTTGACAGTTTCGTTCGGGTTTGGTATATTATAATTTAGGACAACACAACACTTGAGGGACAAGATACAAATATTAGTAGGGTTTTCATTATTAAAAATACTGACTAGTACGACGATACAAACATAGACACTTAATATTAAATAGAGGAGAGCCGGTTGGGAATTACAAGTTCATATTATTGTTAATTATAAATTTAGCTAGTTAAATATTTGATTGTTTGTAATGTTAAACAGAAAAATAACCTACCAATTTTAAAAGTCTTGACAGAAAGCCACACTTGTCGTCTAGTATAAACTGTGATTTATTAAAAAAATTTTTTTGATACTCCTACTATAATTGTACCCTGTCAAAAACGAAGCGAATCACTAGTGAGTGATAAATTGATAAACCTTAAATGGATAAATATTTGTGAGTGCCTTTCAAGTGTGTTTTTCAACATGTAATAGAGAACGAGTGGTACCTTCTTCTTGTACTGTAGGCGGTGGCGGCGGCCCTTCATGTGCATCTCCTTGGCATTGGGGTCGTTGAACTTGCAGTCACAGAGCTTGCAGTTGAAGCTGAGCGCCTTGCCGTCGTCCCCACGGATCTCCTCGATGTAGTCCTGGCCGACTGGCTGCACCTCGGGCTCCGTGTCGGCCTCGTCCTCCTTCTCCTCGCCCTCTTTGTCCTTGTCGCCTTGGGGCGAGTTTTGATCTTTGTTCGATGTGCTCGCCACTGTGCTAAGCCCCCCCGAAGCCACGAATGCGATCTTGGGCGTCCCGGCCACCGTCTTTTTGGCTGACAGGTTGGAAAAGTCAAATTTCCTCTTAGTGACGTCCGGAGACAACATTTTTTATGCTGAGCCTTTTCTACAAACTATTCTTTCGATTTCGGAATTTTGACAGCGCCTCTCAACTTTCAAATGGTACCAATTGGGTCCGTGTCGGTATAAAAAAGGCCCATTAGACAAACACGCTCCATATCTGTACCGTGTGCCAAAATATTATACTTTTGCAATTTTTCGTGGAGAAAATTTGACTCGTACAACAATCTAACTGCCAACTCGTCGCGATCGTGATACAGATATGATATTGTGGCATCAGAGGGGATCAGCACAGATGCGGGTCATCGCTCACAAATATGTTCTCCATACGACAATATCGTCACTGGAGAACATATCTGATAAACACTGTTTGTAAAGGAATCTACTAATAATGTGAATGAGCAATTGCACTGTTCAATTGCATTCATTGCACATCATCAATATAGCTACATTTCAGTACAGAGGACTCTACCTCTTTACTGAAATTAACCATTCTTTACAAATCTAAAGCAATAAAAAACAAAAAAAAAACAAGCATTATTATTACACAGATAACAGTAGAAAGAAGTTTTCTGTATGGAACAATTTGGATTAAGGTATTTGCCGATTATCACGGGTAGAAACAAATGTAAGTGTAGTGTATCATGAACTTTCGTTGCCGGGGGTGGAAAAATAATTTCTGCCAATGATTGTTACTTCATTCACTTTGTAATCATGTGTAATAACGATTTAACTGTAATAAACCTCAATAATGTGAATAAAAATTCATTCTATGTAGTTTGTGTTTATAACATGAGTAAATTTACTAAATATAACTGATATTTTGTTTAAATTTAGAATACTTAAACAATTGAGGAGAAGAATAGAACATAAAAGTTTGAACAGTGCGAGGAATCGAACCCGCGACCATTGAAAATAAACTAAGCTAAATTGCTAGACCATTGGGGCCGTCAACAAAATATGCTACAGTGTGTGTGGTACACGTGGTGTGATTGCGAACGTGTAAAGTGTAGAGATGAGAGGTTAGTGATATGGTACGTTACGAGTGCAAGCATATAGAGTAAGTAGTAGTATTAGTGTATAGATGAGGTTAGTGAGGTGGTAGAGTGAGAGTGCGAGCGCGTAGAGCGCGTAGAGGCGAGGGAGGTATAGGCGTGGAGACTCACCACCGCCGAGCTTGGTGGGCTCGGTGGAGGGGATGGGCTTCCCGAGCATGGTGTGGAGCTTGACGACCTTCTGGTGCTTGATGCCGCGCACGTGGGCGGCGTAGGCGTCTGCGCCGGTGCAGGTGACGTCACAGAGCTCGCAGCGCAGCGCGGCGCCGCCCCCGGCGCGGGCGCTGGCGCCGGCCGCCGCCAGCTTCACGGCCGCCTCCTTCTTCTTGTGCTTCTGGCCCTCCAGGTGCTCCTTGTACGTCTGCGACCACACACCCTATACTACGCAACCCGGTAGCCGACCTATACTCCTAACCGTGCCCGCGGTAACATCCGTATGAAACACATCCACGAAGAAATTGTTATGTCCCCGTTGCTAGCGATATACCATGTTAAGTCGACCTCCACGCGATTCCCCCCGAAAACCGTCGTGGTTAATTCCTGAATGTTTAATCACAGTAGGCAAACTGACCTGACCTCAGGCCTATCTTATCATCCTCCACTGGTGCCCCGCCAGCGTAAACCGTTAGCGCAGGCACAATTCCATTATCAATCATGAAAAAAAATTACATCCACATTACCATCATACCTAACTTCATGCTCTCTGCTTAACTTGGGATTAGATGACACTTTGTGAATTGTCCATGGATATTATTATAGGAAGAGAAAAAGTTACAGCAATAATAAAACTGGCCCTATACCCAAACCATAATACAAATGTTGCTTAACTTGGGACTAATCATGCTCACAAAAATGTTCATGTGACGGTGTTATGGGCCGGGTCATTGGGCTCTCTAAAATATGGTACTGCACTGATTCCTAGACAGCACCAAACACTTAACGCAGACGAGTGCACCGTTACAGCTCTTAAAAAAACTTACCTGAGGGCCGGCACAGGATATGCGACAGACGTCACAGTAATGCAACTGCTGAGCTTTAGGTGGTGGTTTCGGCCGTCTTTGCTGTCCAGCGCCCACGCCACCTTTATTGTAGTTCTTCCAACCGCTATGCGTAACATAAACAAAATATAACAAATTACAAATCTAGATAATTAGTACAATAGTAGTCAATGCAATTTAAGTCTATTCCTTATCAATAATACTCAAAATTTCAAATATTAATTACTATTTATGTTTAATCTTTAGTGTATACAACTAGAATGTAGTTAATTATGTTTTATTATAATACTAGCTGTTCCCGCGACTTCATCCGCGTGGAATTTAACTTTATTTTTTATTTAAAATAAAAGTAGCCAAGTTACTCGTTATTACATCAGCTACCAGTCAAAAAAAGTCCCGTCATAATCGTTCCAGTCATTTCAGAGATTAGCCGGAACAAACAGACAGACAAAAATTGTAAAAAATGTTATTTAGGTATATGTACCGTATTTATAGTCATATGCATGTGGTAAAAAACGGTTATTTCAATATTACAGGCACTTCAATTTTATTTATATGTATAGATGTAGTACTAATATTACAGATAAAGACAGTTATATACAATTTCATATGTTTATGAAACTAAAAAATAATCTCGTGTGTACAGTACATTACATTTAATGTACATTTACTTTATACACTCGAGTCTGTGACTCCTGTTGAGACAATTCTAAAGTGAATGATCAATAAATAACTCATACATGAATGTACAACAAAAATTCGATTATTTTACCCTCCACCGCCGGTTTTGTTCTGCTGCGCAACATACATAGTCGCTGCGTTGTACAACGCCGTGTCGTAAGCAGTGTTCCCTCTGTTGGCCGACTCTATATCAACAAAACAATAATAGAATAAGAAACAGGTGGATTTGAGCATTTGAAATAATTTTACTTGTCCTATAAAAATAATTCTGGACTTTATTTAAATTATTAACACGAATATTTTATGGCAAATAAAGGTATTTAGCTCTCTCGACGTTTCGACTAGGTTGCACTAGCCGTGGTCACGAGCTGACTTGATGCTACTGAACTTTTTCAGTTCAGTAGCATCAATTGTCAATAAGTGTACGGATACCGTTAGTGCTGTGTGTCGCGAACTTTCGTTAAACAATCTAGTGACGGTAGATGAAGAAACAACTGCTGTCACCTATCTATATTGACATCGGCCACGGCTAGTGCAACCTAGTCTAAAAGTCGAGAGAGGTAAATACCTTTATTTGCCATAAAATATTCGTGTTAAGACCCGGTTAATAATTTAAATAATGTATATTAAACACGAAAGTTTAAAAATAACAATTTACATTACAGCGTCATCTAGTCGCTAGTTAAGGTGAGGTTGTCATGGGTATTAAACAATTAATATAAATACTTATGTATTTTTTTAAATACATACAGAATATTTAAGTAGTGGTACAATGCAAAGTGCAGTATGCGATGCAATGTAAAATGTACTTACGCTTGGGCGGCTGTGTAGCGGGCGCGGTGTAGGGCTGCGCTGGGTAGGAGGCGGCGGCCGTGGTGGCGGTGTGCGAGTGCGAGTGCGTATACACCCCGCCGTATGGTTTTGCGCCGCCGCCGGCGCGGGCGCCGCCCTGCACCACAATTGTGTTCTACTACTCATTAAATTTGTCCAATATATAATACACAGATTCATTATCACTAATATTGGCATAAGAAAAATATGACTAACAAAAATAACAATCATAAATTATATTGTATTAATAATTAAAATATGCTCTGACTGAACACATAAACTCCATTGGGCATCTCTAGTTCGATCTTGAGTAGGATCCAAAACAAATTTAATTATATATACTGACTACTTTTATTTCTTTTTTGTTATTTTTACATTCTGAGAGATGACAAAAAGTTAATAATACTCCTGGACAGTTCACATGCCGCCATCTAGTCCCGAGGTATTTACTTGCATAATTGCATACTTGCAATTTTGGAAAGGCTAAGGTGGTGGCCTGGTGCTAAAAAGGATGTGAAACAATAGCGTAGAGAGAACATGCGGGCTGCGGCTGCTACGGCGGCCTGCTGGTAGTAGGTACACCGGTGTACAGACTACAGGCGAGGAGAGTCACCTGGGTGTAGGTGGCGGGCGTGGAGTAGGCGGGCTTGGCGGCGGCGGCCTGCTGGTAGTAGGTACACCGGTGTACAGACTACAGGCGAGGAGAGTCACCTGGGTGTAGGTGGCGGGCGTGGAGTAGGCGGGCTTGGCGGCGGCGGCCTGCTGGTAGTAGGTACACCGGTGTACAGACTACAGGCGAGGAGAGTCACCTGGGTGTAGGTGGCGGGCGTGGAGTAGGCGGGCTTGGCGGCGGCGGCCTGCTGGTAGTAGGTACACCGGTGTACAGACTACAGGCGAGGAGAGTCACCTGGGTGTAGGTGGCGGGCGTGGAGTAGGCGGGCTTGGCGGCGGCGGCCTGCTGGGAGTAGGTACACCGGTGTACAGACTACAGGCGAGGAGAGTCACCTGGGTGTAGGTGGCGGGCGTGGAGTAGGCGGGCTTGGCGGCGGCGGCCTGCTGGTAGTAGGTACACCGGTGTACAGACTACAGGCGAGGAGAGTCACCTGGGTGTAGGTGGCGGGCGTGGAGTAGGCGGGCTTGGCGGCGGCGGCGTCGTAGGCGGGCTGCGGCTGGGGCGGCGCGGCGGCCGGGTAGGCGGCGGCGGCCTGCTGGTAGTAGGCGGACTTGCTGGCGTCGTAGGCGGAGGCCGCCGCCACGGCCGCGTGCGCGTGCGCGTGGGCCGCCGCTGCCGACCAACCCTCTATTAACACCTCGTGTCACTACTCCGCTGCATGTTCGGACGCTATCCCCACAGACAGCGACTCCACATACAGCGATTAAAGTATATACGGTGAGCTATAGTGTTAAGAGGTAAACTTTAAAACAATAGTTTGATCACCATTTTTTCCATTCCGATCAGCTTTAGTGAAAAGTTAGAAATTTCAGTTTAAGTTAAATTTATATTCACAATAAATTAAAAAAAGGTATGTATTTTATTTTTAAAATTGTAATGCTTTTTTATTGCACCACTATTAGACAAATAATTGAAAAATAAAACAGTATGATAAAAAAAAACATGATTGAATTGGAAACAAACTTCAAAGGATGATTTCTATAGTAAATATAGCATTCATATAGGACTATAATCATGCATATTCACATTGATGATACAAATAAAGATACAATTCTACATATTGAAGAGAAAATTTCAAATTATACTGGATAACTCATCTCTAAAAATTTGCAAATCTCTCTAAATACATGTGCCAATTAAATTTAGAAATGTGCCAATTAAATTTAAAAATGTATTGACTTTGCCTAGTAGTGGACTACTCTATAAAAAAATGTGTTGACAAAAACTAAGGATTGAGTTCAGTTTCAGTTGTAAGTCCATAGTTACATACATACAAACAAATAATTCTCAATCTCAGTACTTCAATATACTTACTTCAGACAACAGTTGTGAAAGAAATTAAGACTATATCAACAATTTTTTAGACTTCTCTCAGGCAAAATATAGGATATAGAAGGGGAGCTTCTACATATTCTATATTTGGCCTGGGAGAGAGATTTCTAATATCAGTGAGTCTTACTACATCTTTATATATAAAAATAATGTGTAATGTTGTTTGTCCAAATTGGACTCCCTAAACTACTGAACCGATTGCAAATTTGATTTGCATATTGTGTGCAATTTTATCTAACTGGAAAGATTGTTAGTCTCAAATCAGTCCAGTGGTCCAGAGGTTATTTTCCTCATTACAAAATCCACAGACTTTTTCTTTATAATATTAGTATAGATGATAAAATAATTTAGATTGTACACACAAGGTTTTATAAATATTGTCAAAGATACAAAATATATTTGAATGTGAAAATGTGATGTGACTTCACTAAAATACCATTTGTGAGATGTCTTAAACATATTTAGTGGAGATGCAGTGTAAGACTAATAAAAATTTGCAAATACCAAATGTAATGCAAATGTAGTTAAAATATTTACAAATTTTAGAGACAAATGCAAAAAGTGGAACTATCGAATAATTTAATAACACATTTGCAAGTAATTTGAAAAGAAATTGTGTCGCAGTGTTATCGATTATAAAATCAAGGTTAAGCAAGACAAGAAGTTATTTATAATTTACAAACATTTAACCGCGAATTAGATGTACGTAAACATTGCAAATGAGTATTTTTAGGCATCCATCATTGAATACATACCCTGAGTAGCTGCTGCGGCCTGATAAGCCGTATCATATCCAGTGGCTGCGGCGCGCTGGGTACCGTAAGTAGCGGCTGTGGCCGCTGGCGCTACAGCGTAGCCTGTTTGACCGCCATATGCAGCCCCAGCAGTAGCCGCGCTAAAAATATACTATCATATCAAGAACAGAGGAAAATAATATGACGATCAGCGAAACATTTGCGATCAATAAAGACAAGACGCCATTTTGACTAGTCGGAAACATGAGCACGAGCACGTAAAAGTAGCTCATCATCAAAACATTCTTTAACTACTGTATACAACATTAAATTATATTTTAGTGTAATTGAGAAGAAGATTACTTACCCATATTGGGTTCCTCCATGAGTAAACCCAAAATAATTATTTGCTGCCATCATTTACCAATTTTCCGCGTTGAAACAACAGACGCTTCGGGCGGAAAAGGCCGGCGTTTGTCTTTGACAAATATGGCGACTAAAATACCACAGACTAAGAAATATTTTAATCGCAAATTTGAATCATGAATGGACATATTACACATACAGCCATATCTAAAACTTTAATTTCATCTGACTATTGAAATATTTAATAACAAAATATTTCGTTTTAACCATCTGATAACTAAACTACTAACAATGAAGACTGTTTAAGTAATTTATGACTCACATATCTTACAACTGTTTCGGAAATGTAAATTGATATTTATTTAATTAAAAAGAAATATAAACCGTAAAATGTACCAATAAGATTCATTTTTCAAACAGTTTATACATATGACAATAGGAATACTTGTATGAGACAGTAAGGGACACTAAGGGATTCCGCTCCATTCGGACGTTACACATGCCGTGTCATCATTTTTATTGATATCAACGAGACCAAAAAAAGTTTTATATTATTATAGTATTTTTAATTTTGCCTAATTTTAATAAATTAATTTAATTGGCATAATGCATACTATTCTAAAAAAGCCCTTCGTTCAATTTATTTGACTCTTGCTAACTGTTGTTCGCATAACTATGAATTTATATATGATATGATATGTTTATTAACCATATTCCAATTTTTTATGATATGTTTATTAACCATATTTCAAACCATGATTAACCATTTGAAATAAGTTTAACTTTTATCAAACATTTTCTGAGCTTTTATATAAATTGCTTTGTATTATTCGAACTGTCGTAGTAAAAAAAAGATACTATAAAAAATGCCAAAACACACTTCCACTAAAGAATATCATAAATTATATTTTTACTTTCATAAATTCCACAACGCCCTCTATTGTCAAATAGAAAGACCCCTACTGAGGAGATGTGGAAGACTCGTATTAATCATGTGGCAAAGGAGAAAATAAATCTGTGTGTGACATTGAAATAAAAATTTATTTCGAGAGGATATACCTACTTAATTTTATGTATCATTATATGTATCATCATACCACGATACAAATAAAACTAGTATAAATGTTAAAACTTTAATTATTAAAAGAAAATTACAGCTATAATGCAACTTGATGACAAAGTTATCACGATTATTTATTACGAAATTTGGCATAAATAAAGTGCATTTAGCATGGATAAAAGATGACAATATTATTTTAATTCAGGTCAATGTATATTTTATATTCTACATAATAAAAACAGGCACCAAAATTAGTAACTTATTTGTATGTATTTTCAAAACTTCGTGGGGCAGCCTTATCAAATAATAATAATAAACTATGTATATATTATAAAATAGACATTTATTTATAATTTATAAGTACTTATTTACATTAATCATTTTATTGGGTATAAAAATTCAGTTATAGATGTTTTATCCAAGTAATAACTTGAATATTATGGTTAGGATGTTTAGGAGGATCAATGGAACTGAAACAAAAAAAGAAATTATATAAAGTTACACATAAATCAAATAATTACATGAAATAGTAGCTAAAACTAAGTAATACACAAAAACTATTTTTATAAAATACAATTAATATTCAGATGGGAGATAATCTAAAAAAAAGTTTGTAACAATAACAATGTTATTACAATGTGTGTTAATTAATTGTATTACCAATATTTAGATCAGAATATAGCTATTATCATTAAATATAGTATAGGTATAGTATAGTATATAAATAAATTGAATTGAATTGAATTGAATTAGGGGTAGTTCAAGCATTAGTATGCAGATTTATTACAACTATTTACCCCCCTCTCCACATGATTACGTAAACATTTTACAATTAACATATACTTTTTGTTGCAAAGACAATGTGAGGGTTGCCTTTTGTGTAAAAAGCAAATAACTACCAATGACATAAATCAACTAGATCCCCTACCCCCCAATGTCATCCAAAATAAGCAAAGACAATATGTATGTAATACTTAAACAGCCCTATAATAGAAATAAAAACTCGGCTTTATATTCAGAGTAAGAAATTTGAGATACAAAATAATAAATATAGGTTAACTTATTGATAGTTACATATATAATAAACCCTTAAGAAAGTATCTGAAGAATCTGGTATGACAACCATTTGGCTCAATGTCGTAACCAGCTACAGTCATGAACATCATTGTGTCACCTATGTTACCATTTCTATGGACTAATGGATGGATGTTATGTCTCAATACAATACAATACAATACAACCCAGCTAACAATTCATGCTCGAAATTTAGAGAGCAATATTTGCTAGAAAAGAAATAGAAATAGAAATCATCTTTATTCAAATCAAGCACTTTTGAATAGTCATATTTTGATTCTACCTCTCATTCGGAATGCAGATTCATCACAAGAAGAATGAGCAAGAAACTTGTGTGTTGCTCTTTTTAATAGATGTTTTTTTATATAAACAATTACAGTATAACAAGTAAGAGGCATGCAATAATCAATATAGAAATCGCTACACACTCATTATTAGTGTAATCAGATAATATTGTCAGTACTATAAAGTATATATGTAAGGATTGTGTCCAATTTAACATACAAATTATTATCTAACTGCTTAGAATTGATATTTGTTTCATCAACATGCATTTAATAAGGACTTAAATTTATTTTGTTACCACACTATATAATTTTTATTTCTTTGTTGTTTAATATTATTTGAATTGTTTAAGAATAAACTAAACATGTACAATACACTGCTGTAACTGCTTTACTAAGCAATTTTATTTTTGTAAGAATATTGTCAAGACTGTACTAAATATTTCAATAAACATTATTACTATGAATTTTAAGTTTTTCTATAAAAGTATGTGTTAGAATCACTTAAATATATTACTAATGCATGCTCCTTATTCACTCAATTATGTAAGATAAAGGTATTATCCTTTTAAGAAAAATGGTAGAAAAAGATAAATTATTTAAAACAATTAATATAGCAATGTGCAGTGACAGAAGTGTCTTCAAAGATATTCTATTAAAAAACAATTTATTTGTGTAAAACATTTTAGCCGCATATGAATGTCATAATTTTTGTATTCATAGTTTTTTCCTACCATTTATATAAAAGGAATAAAGTATATACAAAACTACCAAAGTAAGAAAGAATATACAAACTCGGAAACTTATTGTAGGCCTAATATTCAGACCTACTCATATATTTTTCTTCAAAATATCTTATAATTAGTAAATTAGATATATTTAATATGCATATTATGGATACTTACTTCTTGTTACAGTCCTTATTGATCTAACCAAGTTTAATATTTGGAATTTAACTGATGATTGGTCTTCATAACCCTGATTTGGTCGATTTGCTCCCCATCCCACTATAACATAGTCAAATTAAAAACCATTACATATAATTCATAAAGTCCACATCTGCTAGTAAATTATATATTGTATGTAATATACGATTATAGCCACACACAACGGCCCAAATGAGAGGCCAATTGCAGAAAATAGAGTCCAACCTACGACTATAGCTGTAAATTAATTAAATTTTAATATTAACAGGTTATTTTTTTAATCTGTTCATTGGCAATTTTCTTTTTTAAACAATACTCAAATAATTTCTGTATATCTGTTTCTTTTCTGTTTATGTTGTCATTTCCAAAGTACTATGATTCAGCTCTTAAAAACAAAACATAAAAAAAGATTCTAATGTTTATAAAGTCCATATTAGAAAGAAATTTACAATTCATGTAATTTGTTTTAGGTTTCAATTTATATGATAAATATATTTATGAGCTCACTGAAATAATAAGAAATAAAATGCATGTATTACCGCATAATAAATTAAATAATTGATCACTTACTTTTCTGCATAAATCGTTCTTCATGTAAAACACATACTGCATTAAGACATAATAATGTCGCTTCAAACAGATTCCATAACGTTAACATAATAACGATGTATAAATTATAAGTCTACGAAATAAAGATAACTTATAATTATGTTATAATTTGAAATATAAAAATGTTAAAATATTGGATTCTATTATTTTAAATTAAAATTACACAGGAACAGTGTTGCCAAAGTAGATACTCTTCTATTACTCTTTTGACGTACATAAATATGTGGTAATACAATTAAGGAGTTTGATACTCAACAATAACAAGTTCGGAACAATAAAAAAATTTCATTATATTCTGATTTTTGAGATAATGTTGGTTGTTGATCGATTCGTATATAGTAAAACTTTTGTTTCCAGGTTGAATGTATAAAATATTATCAAGTTTTTCTAGAAAAACTTCAATTACACAAGTCATTTAGCCACTCAGATTAATTAAATTTTATGCTTAGAAAATATATGTTCATTTAAATACAAGCTTTGGAACAGTGCTGAACTATCTAATTTAACTGCTACAGACGTTTAGATTTAACTATTCTGAATATTACTAACTTTTTCAGTTCGCTAACAGACATATACAAATGAATAATGTTTAGGTGATGATTAGAAGTTACAAAATAAGTAAAAATGGTACTTTCTAGCAACATTTATCATATAATGTCAAATTTGACACTGACAATTTCTGCCAGGTTGGCGTATCTACAGGAACTGTCAGTCACATTCTTGATATGAATTATCGATAGTAAGCATCGAGTCGATGTTCAAGTTTACATAGTTAACTACCCTTTCAATCAATTAATAGTCGAATATTATTATATAATTATCTTTGTAGTGCCTTCTGAATTACCCTTATGTCGTTCGGTGATGAAAAAGCCAGCTGTGGCAAAGGAATCCGAATAGTTAAAGAAAAAGACGCTTAAAGATATTATTTGGCAAAATACAACATTAATATAAATAATAAATAACAAAATTAGTAAACTTGAAATGAGAGTTATGGTTTAGATAGATGAAAGGTTGCGATAGATCTGAGTAATAAAAAAAGTTCAGTGTATAAATTTATTTCAGACCGATATAATAACAACATAAATATATGAACCGGAAAAGACCATTCACCGTATACTTAACATATGCACCATATTATTTTATCTGAGATTCGCAATTTAACATATTTTGCTACGGGAACCTTAAATGCTGTCACGCTGAATTAAATTACAAAAATGAATAACTAATTAATAGCCACTAAAGTACTCATATTATTTAAATTATTATGCATTTCCACATATCTCTTCTCTAGCACTTATAAGGGTAATACTAATAATATAATAACTTTAGTAATTAAGTATTTCTATATATGAAGATTAGGCTGTATGGTCTTGTACCTTTACTTCTACTTGTGGATAAATAGAACCTTTACTTTTTGAGCGAATACCACAGACACCAATATACTTAGTACTCTGTACTTTGTAACATCAAAAGCAAAAGATTCCAAAAGACATTCGAAATTGATTCGGAGCCCTTGTTCGAAATCCAACAATTTATTTTTATATCTCAGTTATAAAAGATACTGTAATGGAATATTAGTATATCTCCTATAAATTATATACTTTATATTATTTTATTCATTTGTTATTGGTTAAACATTATTTTAACCAATAACAAATTTATATTTATTTACACCTACAGATATTATGAATTTAAAATTTTAAAATGTCTAATATGTAGTTATGAAAAATAATCATAATTACACAATGGAATCATCATCAAGTTCAACGCTTGAGAATGCTAACAATACGCTTACGGAGTCCGAAAATAGATTACAATTATCTGGAATTGTAGACACACAAATTTTTATGAAAAGTCCTAATAGAATAAATGAAAATTTTGAATTATCTGAAGCAACAATTAACAGTATGGAATTAGAGGTGTCAGACGGTACTCCTGATACTGTAAGTTTATGTACAATGGAGAACAGTGAAGGAAACCAGTCTGAAAATATTTGTCTACAACAAAGCAGTGTAATAAATCCTGAGGAGTCAAATAATAATAAAAAAAGTTTAGATTCGCAGTGTTCTGCAGTGAATAATGATATTAATATGCCATTCGAAGATCATAATGAGATTTTGTCTTCTGTAGGTCAAATGTCAGTTAGTAATATCCCAACTGATGTAAATGGTGATTTAGAACCATGTGTTAGAGAGGATGAGTCAGTATTCAATAACTCACAGGCTGCACTGAACATGGCTAATGGAATTAAGAAAGTTAAAAATGTAAATTTGTACTGTGAAAGTTTGGGGCCTAAGATGTATGATGTTAGGGGTAGCTTGGTGACTGAAACGTTGATACCAAAGAATTTGCCGGAAGCATTTACTTATTTACCAATCTATGGCAGACCTAATAGTAAGGCGGAAGTTCCTGAATTTTATAGTAATAAAATTAGAGAATTTGTTGGTTGTGATTTGGATGATGAGGCCTTTAAGCAGTTAGCAGACTATTGCAGGTTTGTTAATTGTTCAGTAGGTAGACATTGCTCTTATATTTATGTTATCTGTGTATTTAGTAAGTACAATGATTAGCAATATATCTACCATATACCATATTAGTTGGATTTATAATATAAGTTATACTAGTTGTACCTGCGATTGATCTGTGTGGAATTTTACTTAATTTTTCTAAAATAAAAGTAGCCTAAGTTACTCCTTATTACATAACCTACCTGCTAAAAAAGTCCCATCAATATCGGTCCAGCCATTTTAGAGATTAGCCGGAACAAACAGACAGACAACACACAAGTCCCTGATACAGTGATGTCGCTCTGTGAAACCTGTGAGGACACAAAGTGGCTTATGCACTTCTGAATACCTTGGCTAGCTACTTTAGTAGCCTCGACTCTGCATGCATACGGGCCCACATGAAAAGCTAAATGTAAAGAATAGAGTCCAATTTACATATTCATTGGCCCTCTTCACCTTAGTACAGATCTGTATCTCAAGCTATTTATTTCAGTGTGGAACATCTTAAAACTGGAAAGGAATTTATGATGATCACCAAACATCCAGGACATGGGCTGTGTGCATCCGAGATACAGTCGCCCAACGGTGGCTCTGGTGATGAAGATGAAGATGATGACAATGTGGCTAATCTGCATATAGTGAAGAAACATAAGCATAGAAAAGAAACTGATATAAAATGTATTTTTCTAAAACAGATGAAGTATAGAGGAATTAAGTTAATGCCACTTTCACAAGAGGTTTGTTATCTAGGAATTAATGAGTTTTACTTACACATTGTTCAACGTCTTTTTGGACTTTGTTTGGGCGCCTCTATCACGCCTAATGAGCCGCCAAGCAGGTTGCTTTGTAAGTTATTACTGTTTAAGACTTATATGACAGAGAAATTGCATAAATCAATGAAATGAAACATCATTTAATTATGTACGATATTTTAGCCGCTTATAAATGTCAAGTCAAGTCATTATTATTCCTCATAAATTTTATCAAATTAGGTGTTATTTTCCAGAAGTCCATTTCATTATAAAATATGGATGTCGACGCATGAGTACCCCTATGGTACTCATGCATCGACACACATAACAACAATTGCTACTTACTATTTCTGGGAGATAAGGTTTGTTTCGGATTGGATGTTAACCTGATGACCCATTATTATCAATATGGGGTACAATGTTAGTAATAATTATCCAGAACAATTCACATAGCACCATGTAGTCCCAAGTTAAAGGACAAGGTGTAGAATACAAATGTTTGTATGGTGCTGGGAATCAAACCCACAACCATCAGGGAAAGGGGATTGGTAGTAATCTGGACTACTACACTACTATGATACTAATGAATTAGTATCATGTCAGGTTGACCTCCACGCGGTTCCCCCTGGAAACCATCGTAATAAGTTTCTGGTAGGTTTTATTTTAAAGGATAATAATGGATGCAATAGTGCATCCGCCTGCGCTAACGGTTTACGCTGGCGGGGCACCAGTGGAGGATGATAGGTTGAACATGAGGTCAGGTCAGTTAGTCCAGCGCGACAAATTCACCAGGAATGTATCACGATGGTTTCCAGGGGGAACCGCATGGAGGTCGATCTGACATGGTACATTGCTAGCAATGGGATCATCAGTCCACATTACTAACAATCCCCTTCCCCCCTTTCTGGTAGATTTGTCACGATGTGCTAACTGACGTAACTTCATATTCATCTTATACTCCAATAGTGCCCCGCTAGCGTATACCGTTAGTGCAGGCGGTTGCTCCATTCCATTATCATCCATAAATACTTAATTTTCTTTTGTAAATACATACATAACACCCAGACCGAGACAAACAAGCATACTCATTGCAGGCGGGTGCTCCATTCCATTATCATCCATAAATACTTAATTTTCTTTTGTAAATACATACATAACACCCAGACCGAGACAAACAAGCATACTCATGAATATAAATATTTGCACCGTGCTAGGAATCGAACACGCGATCAACGGAAGTAAAGGAAAGCAGTAGAGAAAAAATATAACAAATTTGACGTTCATAATCGGCTAAAATGTCCTACATGAATAAATGATTATTGAATTTGAAAAAAAAAAAAGCTAGACCAGCGAGGCCGTCCGAGTATTAGAGCCAATAGTCTCCGTTACAAATATTTCTTTCCCCCACAAAGATGAATGTGTACCATTTTATCTTTTAAGGATGATGATATGAATGTGGGGACGTCAGGGGAGCCATTGCAGCCCGGCAAGGATTTGTTGTACCGTGTACGAATATACAGACCATTCGCATACAGCCCCAAAGAGAAAATGGTGAGTAGGAAAAATGTATATACTACGTATATACGCAAGAAAAATGTATATACACAGGGCACATGCCCAGGGCCCTGCGATGGATTGGAGCCCCCTAGTCTAATCTAATCCCTACTCCATTATCAACCGATAGTTGCTCTATTCTGGCCTGAAAATCAGTCTTAATTCGTCAATTTGTCCGTTTTTGTTATTTTTTTATAAATGTCAAGCAACAACTTGGCCCCTTCATCACATAACGACTTTTAAAAAATATTTTTTATTGATTTGTTTTGAAGGTATGGCATCCCCCATCTCTAAAGAGGCATGTTAAAAAGGACTTTGTCTGTTCTAACAAAATAGTGCTTTATTACAATGGTCATAGGTACCTCATTATCCTAATGTGCCCAGGGCCTCTAATATCTAAAAGAAGGCCCTGGCCACTATCGTAGTATAAAAAAAATGCCACACCGACACTGCCGTGGTAAAGCTATTTTTTATCAACTTATGCAATTATAAATATTTATTTATTTTATTTACTCAGTATTTTATTTCTTTGATATTAATTCAAGTTTTTTCTTAGATTTTTTGAGCGTGGTGACTAATAAGAAAACAATTTATTATACAGTAATAAAATAATATACTTTCTCACAAACAGCTGCTTACGTATTCGTCCGATTTCGGAGCAGCTCGTCTCGATCCGTGCGAGCTTCGTACAGTATACTTACACTTGACTTGTGTGTTGCACGCACACAGACCGTGTCGAAGTCTGCCGAACTGAAACGACGTTAGACGATGCACGGTTTACAACGCCACACCGCTGTGCCGGTCGGAGTGGGGGGTGTTAGGTTTATTTCTTTACGGAATTTCTTCATTCGGTCGCCGCGCTCAAATCCCACGATAAAAGCTATGCAATAGCTTAAAAAATAACATATATATTACAGTGTGGGCGTCGGCAGTTATTGCTGAACTGCGACGTGGTGCTGCTTGGCCGGCAGACGCTGGCGGATCTCCGGGACCGGATAGTGTGCCCCAACGACATCGACATGCGCATCGACGTCTCGGAACACCCTGACCATGTACCGACCTCCACTGCTAAGGTAATATACAGGGTGTTTTTTAAAAAAAATCTTGTTTAGTCCACATTATCAATATTGTTGGGTTTTAATTCGAATAATTTTATGGACATGGTATATTAATAACTGGCTGTGTCCGCGACTTCATCTGTGGAATAGACGACGAATGACGAATTTTCATACAAACTTTCATTCTCTATATATATCGACGACCTAGGTTGGTCTAGCGGAATAGCACACCGTTTTACGCCCGATGGTCGCGGGTTCGATTCCTCGCAAGGCACAAACATTTGTATTCATGAGTATGATTGTTTGTATCGGTCTGGGTGTTTTCTATGTATAATATGAATGTATTTACGAAATCAAAAAAATATCTATGTACTTGTATCAGTTATCTAGTACCCGTAACACAAGCTTTAGATAGCTTGACTTGGGACTAGATGGCGGTGTGTGAATTGTCCTGAGATTATTATTATTATCTAATTTATTTTACCCGATTAAGGGCGAAAGTGTACAAACTTTGATTGTTACAATTATTTATATTAAATCAACAGCTAAAAAAATATGTTTCAAGTCTCTAGTTTAAAAAATAACAATACTTACATACAAACATTAATCTCCTATTTCAACCACTCACATTCCTTTTTTTGCATTAAAAATTAGCCTATATCCTTTCTTAGGGTTTAGACTATCTGTGTACCAAATTTCATTTAAATCGGTTCAGTAGTTTTGGCGTGAAAGCGGGACAGACAGACAGAGTTCCGTTCGCATTATATATTATAATATTAGTAAGGATAATAACCCATAACCCAAACTCTGCTTAGATTGCAACAAGATGGCTCTGTTTGAATTATTGAGTAATATTATATCGCATCTACCAGAGGCTGTCATCCTCTGGTAGACTAGTGTTAGGGTTCACATCGATATTGTCGAAAAATCTGATATATTATATTAAAAGAAGGTAGTTTCACTATTACTCGGTATCGTTAAACTAGTTGCATATAACCCCCACTCATATCTTCTCTGTGTAAAAGGGAGGGTTTTTGTAGGCCGCGGCATTCGGTCTTTGAGCACAGGATGTGCTGGTTGTATTTTAATTGCTAAAGTGAATTGTGTTAGAGACATTGTTAAATTAATGTTATATAGTTGTTATTTTATTATAATACATACTTTTACTAGTACATAGAGTTGATATATCTAACACTAGATGCGGAAAAATGTGTCTATTTCAGACTTTACATTAGTGGATGTGACAACCGGTGGTGTTGAATGCACAGGAGCTGTTTCCGTCAGGGTTCCTGTTCATCAACAACGTGATCTACGTGGACACGCGCGAGGGGTGCCGCGACATCAGCGCGCCGCTCAGACAGTGGGCCTCCGCCAGGGGCATCGGCCTCCTGCCGCACCGGGACCTCACCGCCAGGCTCGACGAACTCACCATCCGCCTGGGGTACCCCGAGGTGAGCACGGCCATGCATTACAATACAACAGGACAGGACAGAATAGAAAATCATTTAAATAATGTTACATATTGTATAGAGATCGTATAAGTGCGCATACTAATATCCTTTTAACAGCACTACGAGATCCGATGAACTAGAGATGGCTGAAAAAAATCATGCATGATATTTTATTCACTCATAAAAAACAGTAAAGTAAAATGAGACAGTTTCCTCACTGGACGTACAGTTTTCTCTCGTTAGATTCCCACAACACATTTGCTGAAGCCTTGGTAAGCGGATTGCAGGATATGGATATAAAAAAACTTACATTAAAGTGCTTTTGAATAGTCATCACTTTTTTTTAATCTGCCGCTCATTTGGGAGCTCTCGTAGAGCGAGAAACAAGCGTGTTGCTCTTTTAAATAATTTGGTTGTAACTTTACATTTTTAATTTAAAATATGTGAACTCTTATACAAACGGCCACCTTTTACCATCGCACCGCTCGCCATCGACAGGGAATTCATTCCCACACGCTGGAACCTAAGTGGTCTCGGACAGTGCGGTTTCAGAGGAGCTTCCTCCCGCGTACACTTGTGGAATGAACTTTCTGTCGAGGTTTTCTCAGGAGACAGCATGGGGTTTTTCAAGAAGGGTATATTAAGGTTTCTTAAGGGTCGGCAACGCGCACGTGACACCCCTGGTGTTTCAGGCGTCCATAGGTTACGGTAACCATTGACCATCAGATGGGCCGTATGCTTGTTTGCCACCATAGTAGTATACAAATAAATGAAACTGTAAACGTGTTGATAAACGACTTTTACGGACTACTCTAATGTTGGTCGCAGTTGGCCTTTACAGTTTCACCGAACGATAGGGGTAGTATAGTGAGAGAGGTGCAGATGGTGCTCCAAATCCCCGGGAGGACTTATGAAGCGGCTAAAGGACAACTCCTGCCAGACAGATACGATTAACCATACCATTTACCATCAATTTAAACTGATGGCAAATGGTATTCTATGGTTATTCTAATGGTTATAATATGGACTTTTTAGCCCTCCCCCATCCATGTCACAGTTGGCCACATTTGTGAGACTCCCCCAACCTATGTCACAGTTGGCCACATTTGTGAGAACCCCCCGATTTATGTCACAGTTGGCCACATTTGTGAGAACCCCCCGATCTATGTCACAGTTGGCCACATTTGCGAGACTCCCCCGACCTATGTCACAGTTGGCCACATTTGTGAGACTCCCTCGACCTATGTCACAGTTGGCCACATTTGTCAGACTCCCCCGACCTATGTCATAGTTGGCCACATTTGTGGGACTCCCCCGACCTATGTCACAGTTGGCCACATTTGTCAGACTCCCCCGACCTATGTCACAGTTGGCCACATTTATGAGACTCCCCCGACCTATGTCACAGTTGGCCACATTTGTAGGCCTCCCCCGACCTATGTCACAGTTGGCCACATTTGTGAGACTCCCCCGACCTATGTCACAGTTGGCTACATTTATGAGACTCCCCCGACCTATTTCACAGTTGGCCACATTTGTGAGACTCCCCCGACCTATGTCACAGTTGGCCACATTTGTGAGAACCCCCCGATCTATATCACAGTTGGCCACATTTGCGAGACTCCCCCGACCTATGTCACAGTTGGCCACATTTGTGAGACTCCCTCGACCTATGTCACAGTTGGCCACATTTGTCAGACTCCCCCGACCTATGTCATAGTTGGCCACATTTGTGGGACTCCCCCGACCTATGTCACAGTTGGCCACATTTGTCAGACTCCCCCGACCTATGTCACAGTTGGCCACATTTATGAGACTCCCCCGACCTATGTCACAGTTGGCCACATTTGTAGGCCTCCCCCGACCTATGTCACAGTTGGCCACATTTGTGAGACTCCCCCGACCTATGTCACAGTTGGCTACATTTATGAGACTCCCCCGACCTATTTCACAGTTGGCCACATTTGTGAGACTCCCCCGACCTATGTCACAGTTGGCCACATTTGTGAGACACCCCCGATCTATGTCACAGTTGGCCACATTTGTGAGACTCCCCCGACCTATGTCACAGTTGGCCACATTTGTGAGACTCCCCCGACCTATGTCACAGTTGGCCACATTTGTGAGACTCCCCCGACCTATGTCATAGTTGGCCACATTTGTGAGACTCCCCCGACCTATGTCATAGTTGGCCACATTTGTGAGACTCCCCCGTCCTATGTCACAGTTGGCCACATTTGTGAGACTCCCCCTATCTATGTCACAGTTGGCCATATTTGTGAGACTCCCCTCCATATCATAAACTGACAGGGACTGAATGAGGGTAGAAAAGTATGAAATTTGAATTGTTCGGGTTACAGCCATTGCTTAGTTGTTTCCTTCTGACAAAAATACAATAACATTATGCTTATCACTACATCCTCCCAAATTTAATGTCATATAGAATCTGTATTTTATTATTGTAATCTGGTACAAACATATTTGAAAAGAATGGGAGCTAAATCTCTTGTCTTGTGTTCTTTGTCAGTTCTCAGCACAAAAGCACTCCGAACTGGCGGTAGATTAGACATATTTTAAGACCTACATGAATAAAGATATTTATATATCCCCTTACAGTTACTTGTTCCTTTTTCAGGTATACATCCACCAAGGGAACTGCGAGCACCTGTTCACATTCTCCGAAGTTCGATTACTGAACGCGACGGATCCTCTCGATATATCTCATTACCCTCGCCACACCGCCGTGTCTCAAAACCAGACGGTATACTGCACAACTTGCGCAGAATTTGGCGCCAAGTGGGTGGTGGTCGGTTCCGAGAGAGTGCCATTCGACCCGGCTTTCTTCTGTGACAAGTGCTTCAAAATGTATTTATACAAAGATGGAAAGAAAATTGGAAATTTCAAAGCTTACTCGTACAGGGCGAATGAGATTAATGTATTGAAACCACAAAGTTGAAATGGTTCGTTTAAAATAGAAAATCTAATTGAAATAAACATGACATATTATCAGCACTGTAGGTGTCCCCTCAGATCGATCCCCGTTCAATTCAAAAGGGGATTGAAATTACGACGGCCCGAGCCTAGGTTCGGATCCCTAGCGGTGCCCTCAGACTAAAGTCGTATCCGTCAGGCAGGAGTTGATCTTAAGCCGCTCTATAAGTCCTTCCGTGTGTTTAGATTGCCATCTGCACTCGCATTAAAATAGTTCGAAAAAAAAACAATTATAGGCAGAGAAGCTTGTCAAGTACCATATTTTGTTGAGTATATTTGATTACAAAATATACTCGTGGTGTGCCAAGGGTGAACCAATCGTCGATTTAGTTGATTTGGTATCTTTGATAGTAGAGAATAAACCATAGACTATGGTGATACGAAGATTCGACTACCTACTTTTGCACGTAATGTAGGAAAGTCATGTTACAACATTATGTTCTGTATATATTGAATTAGTTTACATAATTATTTATTTGTATAGAGGCTTCGTGTTTAAATATAATTTATAAGAACTACTTATTTTATATCTATGTAAGAAATTCGCTGAATACTCTGCATTATTGAGAACCAGAATATGTGATAGTTAATAGATTCGGTTCCATGTATTTTTTTATTCATTATACATATGTATAGATTGGAAGGAATGAAAGGGATAGCAATAAACTTGACTGTAGATCTAAGTTTAAGGACTACATATGTACAAGCTTTTAGACATACAAACCCAAAAAACAGGATGTTAATATATATTTCAGACAGAAATAAATGAAGAATCAAAAAGTAGATCAGTCACTACATGCACTATCCGTTCATTAGAATGACAATAATAAATTAATCTCAGGACAATTCACACAGTGCCATCTAGTCCCAAGTTAAGCTAACAAGCTTGTGTTACGGGTACTAGATAACTGATACAGTGCATAGATATTTTTTTTTACCTAAATACATACATATTATACATAGAAAACACCCAGATCGATACAAATAATCATACTCATGAATACAAATGTTTGTGTCGTGCGAGGAATCGAACCCGCGACCATCGGACGTAAAGCGGTGTGCTAGACCGCTAGACTACCGAGGTCGACAATGCGTGTTCAAAATAATTGTTGGGGCCATTTTATGGTCATATACTTCTTCAAGTTAGACAAAGTAAGAAAAGCATATGCGCATTTTAGAAGTATAATTATAGTGAAAGAGCTAGAGAGGGAAAGAAGCAAAGGGACTTTGACATGAAATAACTAACAGTTTTGGAAATATCAGTTTAACCAATTTAATGGATCAAGATGGTTAGTGCCAAATATATTAATTAAACTACAGTGATATTGTCTTAACTTGTTTTATTTGTATATTAATTAGGTTTATTTTTCTTATTAATGACTAGATGTTTCCGCGACTTCGTCCGCGTGGAAATTAACTTTATTTTTCTAAAATCAAATAATGGTTCTAAAATAAAAGTAGCCTAAGTTACTCCTTATTATATCAGCTACCTGCCAAAAAAAGTCCAGTCATAATCGGTCCAGCCATTTCAGAGATTAGCCGGAATAAACAGACCGGCAGACAGACAGACAAAAATTTTAAAAAGTGTTTTTTTGGGATATGTATCGTATTTATATTCATATGCATGTAGTTAAAAACGGTAATTTCAATATTACAAACAGACACTCCAATTTTATTTATATGTATAGATAATGAAACGATTTACGCTGGTGGGTTACCAGTGGAAGATGAATGATAATATGAGTATATCAGCTCAGGTAGCCCATCGTGGTACATTCACTGAATGTATAATATATGAAAAAATACATTGAATACTCTTTATCCACGGATCCTCAAGGGTGTACTTTGATTAGGGTAGTTAAATAAATTAAACTACCGAAACCTTTATACAGTGATTGTTATATTAACTTTTATTAATAATTATCAAAAATCTATATGCATTCGAAAAGAAATCTTAATAGCGAGATGTAGAAAAATGTATCAAAGTAAACAACGCCATCTAGTGGTACTTAGGAACTAAAACATGTAATCTCGTTCGATTGTACATACACTATGAATTTTAAATGTTTGGTTTCTAGGGGGAACCACGTGGTAGTCAAACTGATATGGTACATTATACGAGCTATGGGGTTGATGTAGATGTAGATGTAGGTTGGACTCCATTTTCCGCAATTGGCCTCTCATTAACTACAGCGTAGCCCCAGCTCCTCCAGAAGCGCCTATGGTGTCTTCGCAGGCTTTATGAATGAGGATTTGTCGTTGTGTTTTATTATTACGTGATGTTTCCTCGTTTGGTCTTACCTATTTTCAACTGACATGTCATTGCTATCATTGTTTTTATGTTATGCCTGTCCAGATTTATAGGCGTTTGTCATTCTTTGATTTGTAGGAATTTACTTTTATTATTGCAATGGTTTATTATCTTGTGTTTTTATCTCAGTGGATCTTTGGCGAATCCAGGATCGAAATTGTGTATTGGCAGAAACGGATGTACCGTCATGCCTGAAATTCGTCCGCAGCGTCGTATGATCCGCTGTGCCCTTTTTATCCACTGGATGGTTACACCGTTGTGCTCTGCCACTTTGTCCATGATATTGTGACATTCGATTATTAATCTGTTGTTTGATTTCCTGTTCTGTAGTGCTTTTAGCACGGCTGCATGTATATAAATTTTATGTTGAAATTATTGACACCTAACTTTTGCACTGTTCGTGCTGCCTCAGTCAGGGCAACGCATTCACATTGGAAAATCGAACTATGTAGTGGTATGTATAAGTTCATGTTATCAAGAGATGAACCGTTTTGTGTTTTGGAGCCATCTGTGTATATGCGTAGTTCATTTCAGATTGATCTTGTTCCTCCTGTTTCATTTGTATCTGGTATTTCCTGTTAAATGATGATATGTTTGAGTTCTATCACACGGAGCTGCAATCAAAGGTTCGTGTTCGATTGCTTGGTTCAGGATGTGAGTGTGAGAACTATTGTGGTTTTTGCCCCATAGACCAAGATGGTATAGTCTTATGGCAGCTATGGCTGCCTCCTGTTGTATGAACAGATCGAGGGGTGTTATATTGAGGGCTATTTCAATTGCTGTTGTTGGGGTAGTTTTCATACATCCCGTGATTGAAGAGCATGCAAGTCTTTGAAAGGACCTTAGTTTGTTGACTGTGGTCGTGAGTTTCGACCTTGTCCACCAAACCAAGGCCCCGTACGCTAGCATTGGTCTTATCACTGCTGTGTATAGCCAAAGTGTTATTTTTGTGTAATACCCCACTTGTTTCTAGCATCTTTCGACATTGATAAAATGCTATGGTGCTTTTGTTGATTTTGTGGTCAAGATGTTTGTTCCATAGGAGTTTACTGTCCAGTATAACTCCCAGGTACTTGACTTCTTCTTTTAGACTAAGGTCTGTGTTAAAGAGTTTCGGTGTCCTAAAGATACCAGGAGCTCTTTTGTTAGTAAACATGATTAGTTCTGTTTTGGAAGGATTTACCGAGAGTTCGTGGTTTTTACACCATCTCTCTACAAGTCTGAAGGCTTCTCTCATGCGGTCGCATAAAGTTCCCTCAAAGTTTCCTGTTATAAGAATAGCAATATCGTCAGCATACCCTACCGTGTAGAGGTCGTTGTCATTGAGCTCCTCAATGAGTTCGTTAACAACTAGGTTCCAAAGAAGAGGTGATAGGACCCCTCCTTGTGGACATCCTCTGCTCACGATGCCTCGTGTGGTAGTGTTTACGGTAAACTGAATTGCACGGTTCTTTAGCATGTTGCTTATCCATTCTATGATAGTTAGAGGTACTCCATGTATGGCGAGAGCCCGGCTTATGCTGGTAAAATTTGTTTTATCAAAGGCCCCTTCGATGTCTATAAAGGCACCTAGTGTTGGCTGCTTTGAGTGTAACGAGTTACCAATTCGGGTTACTACGCTGTGGAGTGCTGATTCCGTTGATTTGCCTTCGCTGTGCATGTTGGTTAGGATGGAGTGGTTTGTTTGTGGACACAAGAGATCTCTGATTTCTTTGTCGCATAGTCTCTCCAAAGTTTTTATAAAAAACGATGTGAGACTAATTGGTCGAAAGGATTTGGCCTGTGTGTAATCACCTCTGCCTGGTTTTGGGATGAAGATTATTTTCACTTCGCGCCATTTCAAAGGTATGTATCGGTGTGCTAAATATTCGAAATAGCTGAACGAGTTGTTCAGCTATTATGTCTCCGCTCCATCTTAGGAGGGCCGGAAAGACACCATCTAGTCCCGCTGCTTTGAAAGGCAGGAATGTGTTGATTGCCCATATATTGCTAGCTACCTCCCAGTCCGAGCTGCTGGTTGTCCTGTCTTCCTGTGAATTCCATGTGTGGTTATTGTCCACAAGAAATCCTGGGAAGTGAGTTGACAGTAGTATTTCGCAAGTTTCTGTGTCATTTGTTGTGTAACTGTTATCCGGTTTCTTTAGACAGCCTATTGTGTGGTCTTTCTCTTTGGAGAGACACGCTTTTACCTTGACTGCTTGGTTGTTGTTTTCTATACTAGTGCAGAATCGCCTCCAACATTCCTGTCGTCGTTGGCGAATTAGTTTTTTATATTTTTTCTTCGAGGTAGTGTATTTGTCCCAGTCACTTTGTGATCTACTATTCATGGCTACGTTGAAAGTTTTTCTCAACTTCCGGCGGTGTTTCTCTAGTTCGAGACACCACCAGTGTTGCCTGCCTCCGATTTTGGGTACGGTGAGAGGGCAAGACTGTTCGTAGCACGTGGTTAGTATGGACGAGCTATGGGGTTATTAAGTAGTCCATATTATTAACCATCCCATTCCACCCATATGAAGTAGGTTATGAATGAATGTCTTATTTATTATTAATGCGTTTGGTCTTACCTCTTCTGAATGTTTGCTTTGTGTTGTCTCCCTGGATTTATGTATGTATGTGTATTATTATTATAATTTTATTATGTTTATTGTATATGAAGGTATCCGCTGAAAACCAGCGTCGTGGCACCCCGTCACGACATATGCTGAGCGGAGACCTATTTGGTACTCTAATTATTAATATAAAATGTAAATTAAATTTTAAAAATTATTTTCAGTGTACCAAATAAACAATTTTCTTTCTTTCTTTCTTTGATGGGAAATGATGGTAAACCTAGGATATAGCGTGCTTACCCAGAAGATATTTGTTCACCATAGACTTGAAGAATCTGGGATTTCTCCAGGAACACGAACGCTGGAATTGTCCACTCTTTGGCAGTGCGTATTAAAAATGACGATGCGAACCGCTTGGTGCGAATATGTGGAATTTCGACGACGTAGTACGTAATGTCTAAATCATAATAAAAATATTTTTACTCATGAAGGTCTATTACAGACTCTTAAAATAATAAAATTATCTCAGGACAATTCACATATCAAGCAATCATACTCATAAATGCAAATGAGTACCGTGCGAGGAATCAAACCCGCGATTGTCTCTATAGTTATATCTCGATGATTTCTGCCGCAAAACTACTAATTGAATTCTTTTAAGTTTAAGAGATGTTGCATTGAAATTACTTTTAATGGCATAACCGAATAAACAGGATTGTTTATATAAAATATAAACAAAAAATATTAATAAACAGAACTATCGCTAGTATGCAGAAATGTATATATTACATAAAGTAACTATTTCGCCCCCTTCTTACCTCTTCCTTTGGCGCACCATGGAAGAATGAAGACAGCAGTCGTCAAATATCTAGGTGAAAGTGAAATGTAAATTTTCATTACAGCAAAAATATTACATAAGCATCGAATCTTGGATTGTCCGTACTAATATTACAAGTGCGAGTGTCTCTGACAATTTGTTTATCAACTTACAACTAAATTATTGAACGTAATTTAAGTAAATATGGCAGACATAAGATTATATAAGATTATATATATATACAAAGTCCGGGAAACATCTAATGATGTATGTGTATAAATTTATGCCAATCTTAAGACTATTATCAGTTTTATGCTCTATGGTGAAAGCACCATAGAGCACAAACGTACCAGAGATGAACTGGAAAAGTACCTTAAGTGGAAACTAAATGTGTGGACAACTTGTCTAGTACCCATAACACAAGCTCTGCTTAGCTTAAGACTAGATGGCGCTATGTAAATTGTACAGGATTATTACTATTATAATTTATAAAAAGTAAGGACACTTCGTTTGTGTTTCAACTCTAAAATTGTCCATTTTATATTATAGCTCACGGGCTGCCGGTTTGTCGTGTAAGTATGTCTAAGAGACATTATATTAAATACACTACGGTAGCAAACAAGCATACGGCCCATCTAATGGACGCCTGAGACATCATGAGTTTCACGTTATTTTTTTTTCGGACTACTCTAATGCTGTTGGCTGCAGCTGGCCTTTACAGCTTCACCGGACGATAGGGGGCTAGTGCAGATGGCACTCCAAACCCACGGAAGGACTTATGGAGCGGCTGAAGACCAACTTTCGCCTGACGGATACGTAGTTTCACGCGTGCGTTGCTGACCCTTAAGAAACCTTTATATACCCATGCTGTAGTCTCATGAGAAAACTTCGGCAGGTAGTTCATTCCACGATTTAGCTGTAAGTGTACCCGGGATGAAGCTTCTCTGAAACTGCACTGTCCGAGACCACTTACCACCAGCGGTTCTAGCGTATGGGGATGAATTCCCTGTCGATGGCGAGTGGTGGCGACAGTTATTATACCTATTAGCTTATACCCACAGTTTTGAATATATAAAACGAGACAAATACGAGTGCTCTTTTTTTAGGGCATGGTCCTTGCTTCTTACATAATATAACATAACAAAAGGTCCCTA